TCTCTCTCTCTCTCTCTCTCTCTCTCTCTTATTGTCACTGACTGGACTCTATTAACTGCGCAAAATCTACATGCAAACATGAACTCAATGTACATATACGCCTCATAATTCACTCACCGGTGATCAGTAAGAGAATGAAGACACTAGTGAGTAACTCCTGGAATAATTGGAGATGCAACCGCTGATTATTTTCTATATATATTTTTTTTATATTTAATGATATCAACTATTTGAGCGGATAGTTCACTGTTATATATTAGAGAACGTTGAACGTACTGTTAGACTATCATGCGATACAAGGCCCCACTCAGTTATATTTATTCTCCCTTCCCTCGACTGGACTCTTCCACCTCCATACAGTCACAAAGTCTCGACGAGACATCACCAATACTCTCTCTCTCTCTCCACTGGGATTGAATACACTGCAAAAATCTTCATATTTTGACGCTCACTCGATCACCTATCATTAGATGACACTTACATTTTCTTTATTACATCTGATTATAAATTCGTGGAACGGGGAACTAGGGAATAAATGGTCATTTCGTGATTTTTTTTTGAAGCAGAATATTTTAAAAGTTCTTGGACTCTGAAATATTTTGCATTTTGGCGACAATGACTACGCATTAAATCAGCATAACAATTCCACTTTTACGGGAGTATTAATAACTACTCTTCAACCTCGTTGATAAGATTACTGGTGACGACAGCAATAATTTCGTTACTTTTTATTTAATTTCATTTCAATTCCATTTTCTGCCAATTTTTTCTCACAAAAAAACCACTTGTTATTGTAAAAAATTGTTCTACTATTTATTATTAAGATAACAGTCGGTCTTGCGGCCTTCTACTATTATCATTCAACGATAATTATTACTTAACGTAAATAATAAAACGTTGATGCATAAATAATGGCGAAAATAGCGACACCAATGGGTAACAGGGGTGATGGTTTTTGCTTGTCCTTCTCGATCATCCATTCGTTGCTGTTATCTTTGGGGGTGTTATCAGGCCTGGAAGTTCCGAGATTATGACTCTCTCCACCGGCGCCTACCTCGCCTATCTTGTACCTCTCTCGTAATTGAATTGCCTCGGTTGTGTGGCCAATATCGTCGAAACAAGTTGTACCGTCTTGACCCGCAAGTTTGAGGAGGACTTCCTCACCTCCTGGGTGTTCACTCAGGAATTTTGTCACATCGTAAACTCCACCGTGAATAATCATCCAGATGTCCTCTTCGTTGTTGTGACGGGATACCTCGTCTGCGCTGTATGTTGTCGTCATGTTTCTTGACTTTATGGCAATCTAAAAAATAATGACGATAGTCGAGAAATAGAAAAAACCATGAGGTCTTTTTGCAATACTTTTTGTGGAAATCTCTCCTAGAACGGGATATTTTTATCACGACTGTGAAAAATATCGTTTCTTGCGCTATTGATAAGAAAATTGAAATGTCGTAAACTATTTTTCAACAAAATATCAAGTTTTAATTAAATTTCAACAGAACTTGCAACTAAATTTCACAACTTACTTGAATTTCTCATTAAATATCAACATTCATTATCGAATCGAGCTGAACATTCAATTAACTTTCAATTCACAAAAAGATTCACCTCAATTTTCACAATTTTTAAACATTGGCACTCAATAATTTACTGCTCCTCATTGATTTTCTTGAGTAAAATCGAAATAAACTAGGATAAAATTGAGATAAAATATTACCAGCACCGCAATTTCTCCACTACGTTTTCCCTCTTTCCGTGCCTCAGTGAAAGTAAAGAGAATATCTTCAATTGCACAAAGCTCGATCTACACCTAGATCAGATCTGTAGAATGTCATCCACTCGACGTTCGTTTTCAAACTGCCTCACAAGAATAAAAAATGCGAAATATCTTGAGTGATTCTCTCACACAATGTGGAAATTCTTCATGAATTGACATTGGATTCCTCTAGCGTTTCTGCTTGCATAGCACCTCGTAAACTGCCATTCGCGTCAAATGAAAAAATAGCCATCGAAATGTGAAATTCATCGATCGAGGGCCTGTGTAATTTGCACATAATGGAGTGACGATTTCGAATTGTTCCCCAAGTTTTTCAGCTTCTTGGAATAAACATATTCATGACCTCGAGGAACCTGGTAATTAGTAAAGCCAGACCTCGTCATTTCCGTTCTCTGTAACCGGAACAAAGTTTTTTCTGTCTGTTTTTGCTGACACATTGAATATTGACATTCCTTCTATTGATTTTCAATCCTCCTGCATGTCATTATTTCATGGAGAATGCGAGGCATGCAATACTGCATCTCCAGCCTCTTCATATTAACCCTGTTTCCTCCACCTCTTGGTTTCGGTCTCTCTCTTTCAAGCGCGCGTGCTCTCCGCCCCCACTCGTAATGCCATCCTCGGTGGATAGCTATAGCCAGTGTGAACTCACGCGATATAACGATTGGTGTTCATGGAATGACGTGGTCACAACCACTTTTGCTTGTCGCATTCGTCTGGAAAATGACGAACAGGCTTTATGACAGATAAAAAAATTTATTCCACAGAAGAATAGACGAGATATGAAACGTACTGCGATGAGTTCAAACGTGTGATGTGAAAATAGAACCGGAAGGGCAGGAGATATTTATCACGTAGTTTGGGAGAATTTGTTGTGTTCAATGTTTGTATGCTTTTGGTTTTTTTTTTTTTTTCAGAAAACTGGAGCAAGGATCAAGATATACTCCAACTGCTGCCCTCACAGCAGTGATCGTGTCATTAGTATCTGTGGGAAGCCGTCGACATGTATGGAATGCATACGTGAACTCGTTGCAACTATTAAAACGGTATGGTTGATGTTTATCTCTAGATGAATAACTTTGTTTATCTTGTGAAACTTTTAGACATCTTCCGCACACTGGGGGGTATTTTTAAAACTGACAATTGGTTGAGCATTATTTGTCCAATCCATTGCAGAGAAAATCAACAGTTGAAAGAATTCAAGATGACTTTTTAAACGAATATATTGAAACTGAAATGAAAACGAATTTTCTCTCATTTTTTGTTTCTTCAAAAATTTCGTTATAGAAATTGAGTTAAAAGCCAAGATTTTGAATTAGTAAATTTTTGTTTTTTAGTCTCCACTGAAGGGTGTCAACAATCCGTACGATCCCCACAACTACGATGACTACTACGCCGAAGAATACGGTGGCTATGGATCAGGTGAGGGCCAGGGTAAGCCAGGTGGATTCGGCCCAGGGGGACGTGGCAGTGGTGGAGGAGGTGGTGGTGCTGGAGGTGGTGGTGGCCAGGGAATGCCCCCAAGACGTGACGTTCGAGGTGGAGGGCCACCTGAGATGAATCGAGGATTTCCACCACCACCCAGAGGTGGACCACGTGGGGGTGGCGGCATGTCTGGACCACCAGATCGCGGATACGGAAATTCTCGAGGAGCTGGAGGCGGAAGTGGTGGTTACGAAGGAGGAAATCGTGGTGGGTTCACTGGAAATAGAGGGGGACCACCGTCTTTCGGTGGTGGAAATTACAATGGTGGGGAAATATCGACCTCTTCCATTGACTTCATTGGGAAATTAATAAATCGATGGTTTTCGACTTGTTTCAGACAATGGCTGGGGTATGCAGGGAAGTGCTCCTAATGGTATTGGCAGTGGGGGAAATTCGGGAATGGGAGGGCCACCGATGGGGGGAAATAACCAGAGCAGCCCTGGAGGAATGGGGGGTAATAAAACAAGTACTCAAGTTACTATCCCCAAAGAGGTAATTCTATGCTATATTCTTGAAAAATTTTGGCTCAAATTTCTAGCACTTTTTTTTTATTATATTTTTAGTGCATTAGAGTTCCACTGAAATTTCAAGGAATTTCAGAGAAGGAAAAGGGCATAATTAATTAATCCACCTTAATTTAATTGCAACTTGTAATGAAAAATCAATTCTTCCAAAAGGAAAAAATAAATGAATAAGAGAAAATATTTTAATGTTTAGCTGGCTGGAGCCATAATTGGCAAAGGTGGTGCGAGAATTCGAAAAATAAGATCAGACAGTGGAGCCGGTATAATAATAGACGAGCCATTACCCGGCAGTAACGATCGCATTATCACTATTACCGGACTACCAAATCAGATACAGATGGCCCAATACCTGTTGCAACAGAGGTAATTATCAAAATGTTAGTTCCTCCTCAACTATTATTACAAATTAATAATTGTTTGATGTATCGTAACACTGAATAATTTAATTTATACGAATGTTGTTGTTTTTAATTGATGTATGAATTGTGATAAATCACCATTGCTCATAAACTAACAGATAAAAATTCTCCTCAAGATAATCAGGGTACACTTGATTCATGTCATGGTGGAGGAAGAACAGAGTTATAATAGGATTTATTAACATAAAATTCAACTAGAAGATTACACGAACGCCCATTTACCATTCAACGTGCTGAATAACAGAGGATTCCGTTGTATGGAAGACTAGTGATTTTGTTGTTCTACTGTAGAGATAACAAGGAATCACTAATCATCCTACAAAGGTCTTCAATATCTTCGATAAAAAATCAACTGCGCAAACTGCTTTTTTGGATTTACTAACAACAGTAATAAGCTGAGCCATTACATCCACGTCATATTTCATAATCATGGTTGTAAATGTTTTTGTGATGATTAAATTCATGATTTATTGAAACTGTTTATTGTACATCACTATTATGAATTAATTTATGATATTATTAATCGTGACATTAATTTACATTTTTTCTCAATTTTCAGTGTGCACGATAACGCAGATCACTATTAAACCCGCAGAAAAGACGAATGAAAAGGGGAGCCAAAGACGTGTTTATAACAATTTTTTTATTCTTTTTTTTTTGTTTTGTTAAGCAACAAAATATTAACAACAAAACATCTGCCCGCAATGAGAGCAAAGGGGAAGAAAACACTGAGGACAATTTATGCCTGGAGACCTTCATTTGTAGTTTTGAATGAAAAAAATAATAATAATAATCTTGAGAAGATAACAATACATGTCACAGGCAGGGATGAACACGAGCCTTGATGTGAGAAAAAGCATATTTTTTCAGAAGACAATTTCCAGCAGATTCAAAATGAACAACAACAATTCAATGTAGTGTATTTACTGAAAAAAAAAAAAAAAAAAAGAAGATTAACGCCTTAGACTTCTAGATTCACTGGTCATTGGCCAATGCGCTGGTCTATATTTAAGAAATTAATATTAATCAACAACAAGTGGTTTTCAAAATGAACATTCATCGCTTAATTGTAGAAGAGACATTCATTTTTCGTTCTTTTTCTTATATAAAAGTTTTCCTATTGTGCATTTTTTCGGATGTATTTATCAGTTTCAATGTAAATAGGTAATAAGCTTACTTTTGAAAATCAACATACCCTTTTAATTTTATTCTAGCATATAAACCCTTACGATTCATCATTCTTTTAATACAATTTTTCTCGCTATGAACGTGAACTTTCAGTGAACTCGATTAATCGAGTTTTCATTATTTGCATGAAGCTCTCAACAAAAATGAAAATTCAAATCAAACATACAACCGATGAGTGAAGAAAGAAAAATGATATATCATGGCCTATATCTTTTCGAGATTGTGTACAATAATAGATAACTGTTAAGATAACCATTGCCAGAAATCTGGAATGATTGAACACTTAATCCATCATGTAGTCACTCACATCCACATGACGATAAAAGAGAAGAAATAAATTCTATTCCCAGATTTTTCCTTCATTTTCGAGTATTTCCAATAATCGAAATGTGGGATCGACGAAATACAATGTAAATAGAGTAATGACATTTTATCTAGATGTTTCTTTCGATTCTTAATCAACTATAGGGACAATGATTTCCAATGCACAGATTATTTCAGCAATTAATATTAACACAACAACTATAAAATCATTAATACTAACCCAGACGTTAACAAGGACCCCCTCCCATCTGATGAAGAATACAAACTATTCGGAAAGAAGTATATCTATAATCTAGTTGATTTAAGATTGCATTAATTAACTTCATTAAGCTTAATGAACAGGTGAGGTTTCGATGGAAACGTATCACCCAAACTGGAGACAAATTTAGAGTGAAGAAGTTCTTATTAATACGTGAAATTGAAGTGAATGAATACAAAATAGTTGATAAACACGTTATTTGATTGACGAGATACAACGATAGTCCATCGATCCAACCTTTGCTACTTCTCTCATATTCATGATAGGATTTATGTTATTTAAATAACTCGCGTGTCTTGGAGACTGAACTCAATTAGGCATTCACATGAAAAGGAAAAAGCATTGATAAAATTCTCTTTGTTCTAATGATTAACTTCTCGTTTATTCATTTTCTTGTCACTTGGCTATCTTTACCTATCCTCAGGAATATCGCAAGGGCATTTCTCCCATAATTTCTTTCAATCGTTTACAACATTACTGGATCATAAGTCAGAGGATCTATCAATCAAAACAACTAATAAATTGTATTAAAAGTAACTTTAATATTCAGACACGTGTATCGGCAATTAAATTGCATTTCCTTTTTTTTAATGTAACGGAATAATAATAGAGAAGAATAATACTACAGGAAAAACGTAAAAGCAGTTGAGTAAATGAGATAGTGTGGATGACGACAAGTTGAATTAACGAAAAACATTGATAATATAGAGATTTAATTGATTAATGAGAGGAAGACAGAGGAAGACACAAATATGTGTGTATTACAAGACATAAAGTTTACAATTATTTGTAATGAATACTTATTATTTGTCGAATAAAAATTAGTACAAACATCAATGGGTTTATGTAGTTATTTATTTCATTTCATTAACACCCAACAGCACATGGCCAATTACAGGATCAATAACACGCGTAGGAAAATAACTTGGAAAGGATTCACAAGGTTTCAATTTAAAATAATTCAATCTAAAAATAAAAAATATTTACCAAAATCTATAAAAATATTGATATAATAATTGAAGTTGTTGAAAAATTACAATTTTTATTCTATCATTCTCGGCAAATACAGTCGCATTCCCCGAATTCGCTTCCCCTATTTCCATGAGTTAAATTTCATTTTTCAAAAATCCTTTCGCTAAATAGTGTTTGAAAAACTAAGGTGGATATTGCGCTTAAAAAATACTCTTGGTCTATTCTATAAACTCTGAAAAGGATTTCCCTCAGGAAATATTGCTCCTCCAACTACTTGGATATCCTTAACAGCAAAGTAAATCCGCGCTAGCACTCAAATAGATTGAAAGAATTCTAAGACCCTCTTCGATTGAACAGACCATGTGTTACCTGTGAGATATGTGCATGCGGAAGCTCTGAGAGTTTTTCGACAGAAAACTGTCAGGATGAGAGCGGAACTGATGGCTTCAAGGCGCATGCAATTGGCACTACTCCACTACACGAAGGAACTTCCACTCAAATCATTAATATTTTTCTTCTTAATTATAATTCATTATTATTTTAATTGCTTAGATTTCCAGAGTAAAATTGACGTCGTTTTAAAAATATTTCGTGAAAAATGTAAGTACAAATCAATGTTGAAAAACATTTGTTGCATTCAAATGTAATTTATAGTGCCATTATCGTTGTTTTCGAAATCTGGAATTATTTTTACTCTGAACGGCCTCTTCATGCTGGTCAATCAATTTTTCCTCATGTCCATCATCCCCACGGAATTATTTAGATAAGAATGAAGAAAGCTAATGAATACTCTTGTTCTGCGGAATACAGGTCGCGACAGTCATTGACCCTAAGACACATTTCCTTCGCCCTCAACCAGCGTCAATATAATAACAATGATTAGTGCGAGTCTCGTTGAGTGGCGATCGATGGTGTACCTACCTAATAAGCATGTACGTGTTCGAGACACGAAAAATAAAGCGAAGATTAAGATCGGCGCCAAAATCATTTTACAATGCATGTTCGGTAATTGTGGGGCTGAAATTATGACTTTAAAATCTATCGAATATTAATTAATATTTCCCAAGCACGCGCACGTATTTTTCTCTAGGCATGTAGCATTCCATGTTCATTATTTAAATCCATAAATTTCACAATTTTCTTAAATTGCGAAAATTGAAAAATTAACGAATAAATAAAAATGAAGCGCGTTTAATTTTAAATTAATTCAAATAGAAAAATTCGTTCATTACATTTCCCATAAACCGAGGAAAAAACTAAATTTATCTTTATTGTCCTGAATATGAATTATCCCCCATTGCCATATACAAAAATTATTATTTCATAATTTCAAAGAGAAAAAAAAATTTCTGAATTTTTAGATGAGAAAAAATGAACCATTTACATTTTTTAAAAGAAAAAGTTCTATAATTTTCTACGCAATAACTCACAGTTTGCGTTCTACCGACGACCCTGAGCTAATTAATATAGAAAATCGCCTCAAAATCCGTTCATTACATTTCCCGTAATCCGAGGGAAAAACACTAAATTTATCATGTTCAAAGACAGATTTCGCCACGAATGCAATTTATCTCAGACTGATATTTGCTAAGGGCTGGCGACCCCCTCAAAGCAATTATCCATCGCGTACGTATAAGTTCAGTTTCAACTTAATTAACATTTTTACACAATGATTACAAATTTATTGTGTCCTCCGCCGTCCCAACATGTTTTTTACGTTGCCACAATTTTTAGATGAGAAAAAAATGAAGAGTTTTTAATTTTTTCGAGGGAAACACCTTTAATTTAAACTAATTAAAATAGAAAATCCAGTCAAATCCCCTCATAAACCGAGGAAAAAACCCGAAATTTATCACTTTCAAAGATAGATCTCGCCCCGAATTCAATTCATCTCCAAGTGATATTCGCCGAGGACTGACGCCCCCGATTATTCATCCTCCCTTCCCCTCCCCTCCTGTTGCTCAATGTCTGTTATTCCCTTAAACCTCTCAAGCAACTTTCGATATGCATTTCCACCAAGGAGGTCAGCGTGTGTGCTATCAGCAAGATTTCAGAACAGACTCATTCAACGGGGTTGGAGCGAGTCACGCTTGCGCGACCCCCAGGCGAGTGTTCCCGGCTACGAAAAGTATAACAACAACCACGCGAAAGCCTTCAACCCTCAGTTATCCGTCGGTGAACGGAGCTGACTGTCATGTGATGACGCTAATATTTTTCCACCCATTTTCATTAATATCAAAACCCACCACAACAACGAATTAAAATTAATGATTACTCATTAAGAACAAGTCCCGTTAATTATCTCAGTGATGGATTAATCAACAAACCGGAAGTCGACGGGAAAAACAAAATTCAGTTTAACGAAGATTCTATCAACACCCCCGATTTGATGCACCCGATGATAAATTAAATTTCCGCAATTGCATTGGAGCCCTAGATTCGCCGACAACATGTGGCTTCCCCAATATGTGATGACGTTTAATTGAATTAACGAACTATCCCGTGACCAATTAGCCACTGGGAATGAATAATTTGTGGTACGCCAGACTTTTAATCGCATTGGTCCGCCTCGTGGGATGAAACAAATCCCTTCAAACCCTCGTGACTTATTCATTGGACTCTTCGTTGTTGAATAATTCCCTCATCCCCGAGGACTCTTGGGCAATGAGGAAAAATGGCAACATCAACAGTAACGAGGTACCGCGGAAGTGGAAGTGAGCAGCATCAGGATGCTGTGCAACTGTCCACAGCAACGTGCCCACCGAGCAATTTTCCAGACAAATTTCAGGACTTTTTTGCTGCACTCACGGAAGACACTGATGATCTGCCAACAATGCTGGAGGACAAACTCATACCCAGGTGATTGATGCAATACTGTTTACTTTGGATCTTATGTATTTTACTTTTGAGGAAGACCACCGAGAATTTCTAATTTTAAATGTTTCTATTCTAATTCGTATCGAGGCCGGTTGCACCGAGTTGTGTCAACTATTTAAATCGTATAGTGTTGGGAAAATAATGGAAGTTCATGAACTGTCTAGACGGAATTTTCAGGGGAGTGACATTGAATTCGATTTTGGGGAAAGGATTATCCGTTGAATTTTACAGACCCAACAGCGCATTAACGAAATTAATAAAAACAACTACTCAAATTTTTTTACTATTTGTTTCAATCAAGTAAATATAAGATTTTAAATCACGTAAATTCGGAGATTTCGGTTCAATTCTGTTGATTTTTCAGTGATTAATTTAACTACAAGATAATTCTTTTAGTTAGACTGATCTCAATTCGTATTAAAATCGAGCCCTCACAACCCCTCATGCATGCGAATTCCCTTTTTCCACATCAGTTAGCACAAATTCAGGAAAATCTGCGAAAATTCCGGTGGTTTTCTAAATTTATTCCAATCACGTAAGGCATTTCGTTACAAAAGTTCGATTTAATTCTCTTCATTCGTAAAAATTCAATCTGTTTTTTCTGTTCTTCCCAATAGGCTGTGTTATTTTTTAATTAATTTTGTTAAATTAAATTATTTATCTCAAATAAATTACACAATCAATAAAATAATGCACACAATAAAATAAAATAAAATATTTTTTTTTGAGTATTAATTCTAAAATGCTTTCTGTCATAAGTTTTATGTCAAACTATTATTAATTTCATTATTATACTCTATGCATAATTAATCTGGCCCTGTAATTGGCCGTATGCTGTGGGGTGTTAATGACAGAAAAAGAAACTGAAAAAAAAATGCCAGGATCTTCCATTAAATTTTTTCGTACGTGTATCCATTTAGTTCTCACTGAAATTGTGCAGAAGCATGTATTCAGATGAAAAATGATCGGCAAATTAAACCTTGCAACTTTCCACCCAAGAAATATGAGATAATGGTAGTTTGCAGCTGAAAAGTGCCTTGTAAATTTTAATTCAGAATAACGAGACTGCATACTAGATTCAATAGGAGTCAAGGATAAGGAGTAATTGAGGAGGCCAGGTAAACTCCAAAGTGGTCCCCCAATGGTGCTCCCTAGCCACCTGAAATTTACACGTAAATTAAGTTTGTTTAGCACTGTCCTTTGACCTTCAGCCACTATCATGTCACGCAGAAACTCGTTTCTCGGGGGAGTTGAGTACGAAAATTATATTCCGTCGGACGACACATCAAATCCCCTCATTGTTTTTTTTTAGCAGGACTGACAGTCCTGATGCCAAGAAAAATAACACGAGGTGGGGAAAACGAACATTTCAACGCAGAAGTAGCGAGATTGAGGTGCGATTGCATGGGGGGGGAGGTCATTCCATGGGTGCACAATCGCAATCTACGACTGAAGCCCCCAAATCACCAACTCCGTCGAGAAGAAGGAGTTGTAGCATTGCGGTTGCCAGACCTACGCCGGATTTGCACAGGTATGAAGTAATTCTCAAAAAATTCCATTCATTTGAATTTTACGTCATTTAAATAACGAATTTGATTAAATTATCGTTTGAATGATGGAATTATAGTCACTGCGTAAAACAATATTCAAGTACTTTGAACATTTTATTTTTACGCTATTTAGATAATCAATTTCATTATTAAAAATCATTGATCGCTAGACTTTATTAACGAAGTTGATAATGAATTCAATGTGCAAATTATGAGTGTAAATTTGGTACTCTGGACTCATCCCCCGATGATATAACTGCATTCACAAGAATTGATATTGAAATGCAGTAGAATGCAACAATATCTCCACAAAAAAGTTTCAACCGTGAAAGTTGATCGCTCGAAACTTGGTGAACTCCCACAGATTCCTTCAGGCTGAGGCGGGCCCCTGGGGGCATTTATCCCCCTCGCCTAGGAGCCCGACCAGAAATAGTATATTGAGTCCTGGGGCTGTTTCGATGACACCACACTTGAGCCCCAGTCCAACGAGTCCATCAGCTCCTGGGACAGCCTCGCGGGCGAGAGTAGACAGGCAACAGCGGGGGCGGACCAGCAGTATGCCCGCAGTGCCCAGACATCGGGTGAGTTTTCCACACAAATTTGAAAAAATTTTCAAATTTGGGAATTTCTCCGCAATTTTTTCCCCTCTCTCCCGTTGAAGCCACATTTTCCATAATAATTCATTCATTTTATTGCAAATAGCTTTAAGGATATCCAAGTACTTTTTTGGCTATTTTTACTTCCGAATGGAAGCTTTGTAATCGTTCAAATTTAAGTATGATTCAAAAAGTACGAAAATGCCATTTTTAGACCTCGTCCGAATTACTTGAATTAAAGTTTAAAAAACTGCCAGACCGACGCAGATTCATTGAATTTCATCTGTCAATTCTGCCCCACCCATCGGAAGCATCTAAAAAATCGCTGTTCATGTACAATCCCCCACGTACCAAGATTTTATCTAGCTCCTACTCCGAGTGAATTGCACTTCTCACCGCGATATAAATTCTCGTAAGATAGTGTACCTCGTTTTTTGTCGTTATTTTTCCCTCATCATTCTTCTCCCATATCTCCTACCTTTGTGAGCACGCTGAGGTAAAAAATATTATCTCGAGGGGATGAAAATTATTTACAACGCGGAATGTGAATAGTATTCTCTACTATTATATTATAATGGATACATGCTCTCAAATTAAGAGTGTAGAGATGAATATTCTCCACTCAAGAGAACAATATTTCATTGGATATTTGAAATTTTTAATTAATAAATGACGAACAGTTAGTTGTCATTTATTATTAAAAAACTTTATTCACCGCTTCACACCTCGATATCGACCGCGAGGCCGACCCGATGCCGACTGTTCACAAAGTCCCTACAATCAACCCCAAAAGCGAGCGTCACCTTAATCCCATCGTACAGCACTTGCTGAATACTGGTATCCAATTGTAACTCCCTGTCGAATTTCATTCGTAATGTGGACGTCTCATCAAGTTTATACTGTACACCACAGCCGGCTGACCAATTGCCACTATTATCGAGTCCCGTAAATGTTCCACTGATAGCGGTCTTGAAATTTTCATTCACTGAATGGGAAACCATTCGAAATTGATTGAGCTGAGGGGTCAATTGGACACTTGCATACCTTTATACACAGCTGATAAGTCGTAATGGTCCGTCATCCCGGGGGAGCACTTGAAGTATACACTCAAATCAGTGAATTTGTACGTCACTCCGATATTACTCGCTGTGAAGGAGTTGGATGGGGATTCGTATTCGAATTGGTAGCCAATGAATAGACCCTTGAGGCCGATTACAACTCCAGCGAGAAAGTTTAAATGTTTGTCTAGGGCATTTGCTGGCGGAAAAAAATGACTAAAAATCAGATGAACGAATAAAAAATCGATGGAAAATATCGTGGAGAAAAAAATTCAAAAAGCAAAAGAAATAAATCAGGAAATTAATAGACGTACAGATACAACAGCTGCAATTCAAAAAATCGTTCTTAAATTTAGTCGTGACTTTAAGCCCTGAATCGTTAGTAGACGGATTATAAGAGTACCCCCCGATGATCCCCAGCCCCTCAAAAATCTTTCCATCGTCAACTTTATACTCCAATTTGATGGTGCCATCGCTGTCCCACTTCTCCGAGAGTACTCCGTAATCCTGCAGTCTGAGTTTCACCGCAGCATCCCCTTTCGCCTGTCGACAAGCCCAACAATTCAATTGCATTCGTAACCCTAATGTGACAGGACTTACCGGTGGATTTTCGCAGTTGAGCTTGTAACTACTATCAATTTCCAAGTCCTTGCCTGATCTGGTCTTCAGAGTTATCTTGATTACTCGACGACCGTACTCGTAACTCGAGTTCAGTACGTTACGGATACTTTGACCTAGCTCGGCGAAACTCGGAGTGGACATGATGGAAAAATATTGCGCTTGAATTGAGAGGAATGTCAGACAACTTCTCAAAGTCTGAATTGATATAAATTCTTTCCCTCCAAATATTTCAACAATTCGAACAATTCGACTGTGAAATGATGTGATTATGAGTAAAAAGTTTTCCTCCTCTCGTGTTTCAATTCCCCAAAATCTCTTGTTCGAAGAAAAAAATGAAAATGAAATGGAATCATTCGTTACGGCGTTGGGAGAAATACCATGTCACGGGGGTGACTGAACCGAGAATCTATATCGGGATAAGCCGTGTAAAAAGAAATTGGGGAAAATCCTGAGGGAAATTCAGGGATTCCACGTGGCGTTAAGTCTGTTTCAATGTTTACTGGAGAGATAAGGGAGGAAAATTCTTAAAGCTCGTCAAAATGCATACTGTACACTAATTTATATAAATGATGCAAGGAGAGAGAACATTGACGTCAAAATTATGTTTCACTCCATAAACATTCCAAAACTATTTTTTTTTATACTGTCAGAAATATTATTAAATTAAACTAAAATTTACAGTTTCCCTTCCTTTTCTGCTAAAATTTTGACTCTAATTACAAAATATGATGTGATAAAAATTTCCGAGAATTGTAGCAGAAATTTCAGCCAAAGATTATCAACAGTGTGAGAAGAAAAATTCATCGTTTGCCTCACATATTTCCCCTCCTCTTTTCACGGAAAAATTCGTAAAAGAGCATTTCGCGTAGAGATGACATTTCGTGATGTTTATTCAATTTTTTTCTGCATGTTTGAATTTTCAGCCAATGCTCGGGGACACCAAGCGAGGGGGACTCTTCGGAGATGCCGAGGACAATGAGGCAGAGAGCGAAGTGGAATACTATCGATTGAGGTCTTTCTCCATAACTGCCAATGGGGTATTTAATCTCGGGGATTCCCTCAAGAGTCGACGGAGCAAGAGCATCAACAGTGTTACATCATCGGGAACGAGTTGCAGCAGTACCAGGGATGCCAGATTACTCAGGTAATGATGATACAATCGAGAAGCTCGATGTATTGATACTTTAATAATGGAGAAGGGCGTCAGCACAGAATATTCATGGCACTTATGCCTCTCTGTTATTGAAAGAGCGAGGATCACTATAATTTTCAATAATTGTAGTGAACTATCGAATAGGATCGACAAATAAATGTAAAATTCATTTCAAAAATTCTGAAGGAGAAATTCTATTTGTTTTTTGCGAAATATTGGGTAATATTGAATAATAGATACAAATGAATAATTTCCGTTGAATGTATCGAAACACCTGACAGAATCCTCGCTCAACTCGTCCCCCGATATTTTCAATTTAACTAATTACCCTCAACTTTCCGAATTCCCCAATCTATAAAATACTCAGCATGTGCTTTCAAATCCTCAACACCGAAACCCCCGGATTAGTAAGCGGATGAGCCAAACCAACTTCAACTGAAACTTCTCGGACTGAAGTTTATGAACTCGCAGTTAACGTGAACTACACATAAACTTGGAATTCTACCCAAGGTGGAAGTTAGTTCAGTCGCCAATTAACTCTCATCACAATTCCCAGCGCGGGCTCCTCGAGAATCTCCCCGTGTAGCATATTCTTTCGAGTCCGTCAATAGATCGAGAGCACTGTCAACTTATAGATGCTCATGTACACGTCTTATCTTGTTTGTAACAGACAATGTGGAAAAATTGTCCCTCACCTTAATTATTCCGCCTCCGTCAACAGAACGGAAGACTGATTGGCTGAGTGGAACGAACAGGGACCATATCGATTTTTTTTTCGCGCCGTGTGGCCAGGGCAAAGGGCCATTTCGACTGGACTTTAGGCAGTTTATGACAATATACTAATTACTATTTCTCTGGTATATTTTCCGAGTGCACAGAATGACATAAAGAATGCGAATTTCATTTTTTCTATTTCTCTATTGAGATCAATTTTTTTGTTGATTAAAAAAAAACCAATATTAGTTTAGTTTTAACGATAAATATATTGTTCTCCATCCGAATGTCTCCGAAGAGAAAACACACATGGCCTGCCATACAGATAGCCAAGAAAATGATCCAACATATACACGAAGAAATGCTCGTTCTTTTATCATCAGCTCTACATTCGTCTAAAGAACTTGTTTCACATTGTCCCCCCAGAGGATTTCCGTCTTCCATCTGAAATGGTCCGCAATAAATTCTTCCTGAGGGGAATGTTAGCGTTCAAGGAGCGTAGAAAATGACCGGAATGGAAAATACATTGGAGTTGCTCTCGTGAATGTTCAATATTACTGCCTCTAGTATCTCTTCTGGCCTCATCTGCGTATTTATTTCACTTCTCAGTGGAGGTCTAGATCGGAATGCTCTTTTCAGCGCTTGGGAAATAATCAATGGTTTTTGTTCTTGCGTTTCATTACAGTTCGGGATCGCAGCATTCATGCATCGGGACAGATGAGAATGCTGATAGTGAGAACAAAGTGGCTACCTACAAGGTGGGCATGTTGGGGGCTTCTGGAGTTGGCAAAACCGCTCTGACGGTGCAATTCACCACTAGCGAGTATATCTGCGCGTATGACGCATCTCTGGGTAAGCGTTCAAATCGAGACGCCTCGAGAGTGAAAAACAAATACTGAAATGGGGGGAAAACGTTGCGCGATGAATTCTCACTCAAAAAAGGAACACAAAATCTGAAAGATGGCTCTAAAAATTTGTTCGTTTTGTAGAAACCGGATGAAGTGAGTTGAGGGTGATCTGAAGAGGATGAATAATTTTAAAAGATATTTGAAAATACGAGGTGAAGGCACCGCCATCTTATCGCCATTGTATCCGAGCAAGATGGCGCCGCCACCTGCCAATCACCTCGTGTTTTTGAACATTTCTTATAATTATTTTTCATCGGCTTTTGGATGAGAATTCATAGTGCAAAGTTTTTCCCCTATTTCAGAAGCTTTTTGTCTACTCTCGAGTCCTCGTGAGTGAAAAAAATTACTGAAATAAGGCAGAAACTTTGCGCGATAAATCTTCAGCCAAAAAAGGACGAAAAAATCAGAGTTATCAATGTCAAAACCACTCTGTCTTCAACTCTCTACACAACAGAAAAAATTTGTCAAGAGATTCGTTAATTTTTTCATAAAAATAAATTTATGAAATTCAATTTAAAAATTTAATCAACGAATACATGGAATCACCGATTTATTTTCTGCATTAACAATTAATGAGTTTTGAACAAGTCCAACAATTCACTACATCGATTGTTACGTAAACCTGGATAAAACAAGTATAAACTTTTTTCTACACAACTATTCCCTTCCCTTATATAAAATATCGGAATTTGATTACAATTACGCGGTGCCTACATTCAACAGCGAGTTAATCTCATTCCTCTCGTTCCTACACTGATTCAATTGGCTTCGTAATACCCATCACCCATGTCACACAAATCAGTGTCAGGGGCATGTATGTCTGATGGATGCATTCCCACTCGAGGTACATGGCATGTCAGGGCCGTCTTAATGAATTCCGTTGATGAAAGAAGAGGATTGAGTTGTGTTTGGGATTGATTCATTGTTTCGGATTAAATACCTGCACTAGGCAACAGCAATTTCCACTGTTGAAAATTTTTGACTAAAACTTGTGCTAAACTTTTAATAGTTCCAATGAAATTTCAAAGAATTTCGTCATTAAAAATTCCAAATTTTATAGAAAAACCAATGGGAACTGAAATTTTAATTTTACTCTACAAGTGTGATTAAATAGAAAAAGTGAGATTAAATAATAATTCCGAACCATTTTATAAAATGACGTATTGAGTATTCGTCAATGTCATTGATGTTTCATTATTGACAGACGACGAATATGGCCAGAAGAGTGTATCAGTGATGATCGATGGACAAGAAACAGAGCTTGAGATTATAGATCATCCAGCATCAGAAATGTCTGTGAGTATTAAAACAATTTTCGAATTCACCATGAATGATTTACGGAAAAAAATGCAATGAGTGCCTCATGTACACAACTCCCTGAATTAAGAATGTAAAAGCGATAAAAGTCACCATTAAAGGACCACTAAATAATAGACGATGTTGTTGAACAGTCGATTTTTCGATAGCTCTCCCTAATGAGCCTATGTATGCGCGTCGCGTTTTATCATTGTTCCTTTATCGGAGTCAACAATGACTCAAGCACTCTAGGCTTTTATTGAAAGCAGATAAGAATTCTTTCACCCTACAGCAAGATAACTATCATACGTGGGTTTTATAAAAATTATTGGAGATATGTGATCTTCCTGGGAGATAAGCTGTCAGGGGTTGGATCTCTGACCTAAAAGTAGACAGTCCGTAATGATCTAATCGCGAAAATGCAGGGGTGATAAATAGCGGGCGGTCCTGTAATTGATGATAAATGATCCAATTTGATACATGTGGAAGAATAAAATAATTGGAGCATAACGAGAGTGATTAATTATCATTAATTGAAATGTTTGTCAACATTGTTGATCAATCAATACGAAGACTGAAATAATTGCTGATTAATTCTGTAAATTGCCTGAATATGTTTTTTAACATTTCAAAATTAGAAATAAAATTCAAATTTTCGAAGTTTAAACAATAAAATCAAATGGAATTAAAAAAATCTAATTTGATTAATTAACTTTAATAAATATATAACGAATGTCAAAAATAATGTCAACGAAAATTCGAAAAATTGAAGAATTTTGGGGAATTATTGCCTCCAGGTGGAGAGTTTCTGTGCAACGTACAACCCCGACGTGTACGTCGTGGTCTACTCAGTAGTAGACAGACGCTCCCTAAAAACCGCTGAGGAGACACTCCTCTACCTCTGGAAAGGCGACTACATGGCCACCCACGGTGTCATTCTCGTGGGGAACAAAGTAGATCTCGAGAGGAAACGAGAAGTTCCATCCATGCGTAAGTTCATCGATTTCATCCCTTATCTATTCTCTCCACGCTTTATGATGACTGAAATAGTAATGGTGATATCATAAGCCACTATTACTGCAGGATTATGTCCTATTAAACGTCTCCCCCCCCCCGGATTATTCGATGAATCATTTAATTAGCAAGAAGCTTAAGTTGACTAATTCCTCACTAATCATCAATTATAATCCTGAAGCTAGAGATTACGAATTAAAAATGGGGAATCGATTAAAAGCTTCCATTAATTTGAATAATAATGTCTCCATTTTTAAATATCCAAAAGATTTCAGGGATTTCGTGCAGATGAACTGCAGAATTGTTAAATAAAAGTCAATACAATATCCAATATCATCTTCTAGCGAAATCCCTAGGGTAAACGAAATGATATCTTCTCTTAATTTTGATTGCAAGTGGGTAGAAGGCTAGCCAACAGCTGTGGTTGCAAATTCATCGAGACCTCATCAGGCCTAGCCCACCACGTGGACGAGCTTCTCGTGGGAATCCTGGCCCAAATAAAATTAAACCCTCAACGGGCTCGGGATCAAGTGACACGACGCAGAAAAAACAAACAACGACGCAAAATCCTCAAGCATTTACTTGGATTTAAGAGAAAAACCAAGAGCTGTGAGAACCTATTCACCCTTTGAACTAGTGATACATGCCGCAATATGAAGAAACGAAAATTACATTTTTACCTCTCGTGTGCTAGATGTTAACCCATATCATTAATAAAGATCTTCATTACTACATGAAGTACTATTTTACGCTGGGGTTTTTAATATTTCCCTGGACAGACGAAGAGATAAAGGACGGCATTGCGTACTGTTATGGCTTGTTGAACCGCACAAGGCACGATTCTTCATGAACTTTTGTCTTGAAACATTCGCCATTATGCATATTCAGTGGACCACGTCATCGTTTTCGAAGTGGCTTTTGTCTCTCATCCACTTGACCCTACGCCTTGACCTACTCGTTTTTTACTCGCAGTATCTACGATCCACATGCTAGCACCACCAGAATCCCATTCCTCTTTCTGGCTACCTTGCTTTTACTCAGAGCCCATCGAACATTTTAACTTGACTTTAATGCAGGTCCTCGGCACTTCTGTGTAGACTACAAGATGTTTCCGATACTAGGGGGCTTCAATGGACTAGATTAAAAATTTCCATGCAAGCAATTTCTCATTATGTTAATTCTTAATGTATGAGGGGACAAGGAATTCTTTAGTTCATTCATAAAATTCTGTTGAAGTGAAATTTTCATGGAATCATAAGTGAAAGCTTTCCAAGTATTTAACATGAATGAAGTCTGCAATTTTCTTTGAAATCCATCTTCTAAATTTTCAATCTCAAACAACTGAATGTCTAGTCCCGTGTATGAAGACATCTTCAATTGGGAAAAAATCAACTACCAATCTGTAGAATTATATTTGTAGACAAGAAAAAAAAACAATAATGAGTCGTTATCAGAAATTAATGATGCGGATATCATCACTTCTCCCCGAAAAAACACGAGCCACATTTCTCCACCCAGCAGGTAAACATCAATGAAAAATTGATTAAATTATTCTTTGAGCCTAACGATCATCTAGGGCCAACGACCGTATTTTTTTGGGCGCCGACCTTCAAGTGGGGGCTAGTGATAGCTGGGATTGGTGACATCAATCGACCGCCTGAGACAATTTCCCTGGCCCAAACGGCAAGCCTCATGCTCACTGGTATCATCTGGTCCAGGTTAACAAACTGAACCCCTCAATTTATCTCAAGAGAATCGATTATCAACCCTGAGAAATATATTGCAGATATTCCCTGGTGATTATTCCGAAAAACTGGAATCTGTTTAGCGTTAATGGCTTCGTTTCCATGACTGCTGCGTACAATTTCTACAGGGGGCTGATTTATCAGATGGAAAATCCATCATCTTCATCGAAGGATTGATAACGAGTGGAATAAAAATATTGCATGCAATAAAGACTTATTTAATCAATTCATCAGATTTTTTTTTGTCCAAAAAATTAGTTCATTTGACTGATACACTCACGATTCTGATGTCGTCGTACGGTTTATCTGTCTTCGGATTTGTTTTCACTTGACTTATATTCTGTACTACCTCCATTCCCTTGACGACGCGACCAAAAACTGTGTGCTTGTTGTCCAGCCATGGCTGTAAAAAATATTTACGATTATATTATTATCAATTATTTAATTCAAGGAAAATACCCGAATGTGCATTATTATTGAATAAAACAATAAATGTTCATCATTATTCTTTTTTCTCATTTTCTTTTTGTTTTGCAAAACTCAAGGACTCTTTCAAAATTGTAGGAAAACACAAAAATTATCTTTTTAGAACAGAACATCTTAAAGATGCCCAAAAACTCCCAAAATTTGTAGATCAGACTAAAATCAAATGAACGATAAAATTAAATAAATAAAATGAATTAAAATTCAATGAATAAATAAATCCTTTGTGCGCAAACAATTAAAACAAATGCTCACCGTTGGCGTCAAAGTAATGAAGAACTGACTGCCGTTAGTATTAGCCCCAGCATTAGCCATACTGAGAGTATACGGTCTATCGTGCTTGAGATGTGACCTGAACTCATCCTCGAACTCGCCACCCCAAATGCTCTCGCCCCCAGTGCCCGTGCCCGTTGGATCTCCAGTCTGAATCATAAAGCCCTTGATGACCCTATGAAAAATGTGGCTATTGTAGTAGCCATTCTTAGCATGAACGCAAAAGTTCTCCACAGTCTTGGGGACGTCCTTCCCAAACAGAGACACATGGATATCCCCCAGAGCAGTGTGAATGATAGCAGTGTCGTAAATCTTCTGCATGTTGGTGGCATCTGTCGAGGAGATGATGTCTTCCTTCGAGGGTTTCTCATTGAACACGTCTCTGTCGCACTCTGAGCCCTTGGAATCCTCAGGTTCACGTCTCGTGAACATAAAGAATCTGTTCTTTTTGTGTGCTGTACAGAATAATGTTGGGTCAGGCTTGTTGAGCTCCAGTGTAGGATTCTCAGATGCCTCCATTTCAACTGTTATTGATGCAGTTTTACGTGATTTACCCTAGAGAAAAATACAAATATACAGATGACAATTATTACTATTTATTGATCCATTATATTGCAGAGTTGAACAAAAAATTACTTGAACTATCTCATTAATTAAATTGATTTATAAACTAGCAATAAATGTTTTTCATTATCTATTAGTCACATTTCCATTAAAATTAAAGAATGAATAAATATATACCTGGAATAAAGCCAATTGCATTGGTCGAATGTTCTCAGGCTTCCCTAGTATTCGAATACAACGGCTTGTGTATAAATTTACTAATTTTATACCCAACATTGTACTATACATTATCATGTATCCTGATTCGTCGAATACTATATTGCCCAGGTTTGTTTCTGTTTTGTCTAAATCTCTTTCTACAGCCATTCTACAAAAAAAAAAATGAAATCACAGAAATTAGGAAATTAATACTATTGAGAAAAAACATGTGTATTTGTGAAAATAATGCAAACCTCCTTCCAAACTCCATATTAGGTAATTGTTGAGTAGTCTGTTGAAGCTGTGAAAACCTCTGCAACGACTCATCAAAGATTCTGTAAAGTTTTCCAGTCAAAAAATGAAAGACTCGAACTTTTCGATCACTGCTGAGGGATGCGAATTTCTTGCCATCAGGGGATATTGCCAGACAACACAAATGTGTCTTATTCTTCGCAAATTCGAACAGATCGGTATCCAATTTCGATTCGAATGCGACACACTTGGGGAATTGGTACTCTGATTTAGGGCCTGTCCAGTATTCCAGGAATCCTGATTGATCGATCGATATGCAGGTCTCGAAAACTGGATTGTACTGAAATACATGATGTAATAATGATGAAGATTTTTTACTTTTTTCAATGTTTAAGTTAAATTTTTGTAAATTATTCATTTTCACGTGATTTTATTTAATGATACGATTCTGTATTTAACTCTATGCTGTTGGGTGTCGATAAATAGCTAAATGAATACGTAAATAAATCAATGACTAAATGAATGAATAATTCGATAAACATGAGAAGTTTATGCCAATGTGGAGTAATGAAGGAGAATAAATGGATTTGCCTACCTTCATGACAACAACAGGCTTTTTGTGCAAATCCTCGAAGACATGCAGAGCTCTCTCAGTCGCTTGTCCATCATAGACATGTATTTTTGGGGAGTCTCTATCAGAAACAGCTATTGCAAATATCGCATCGCCAGATGTGTAGATCCACTCCACGCATGAAGGAACGTAATCAAACTTCATCATGTTGATCATGTCTGACGAAAATAGAGAATATAATTGCTTGTAAATAGATGCAAAAATTTTTGCATTTTTTTATATTGAAATTAAAGCAAGAGTAATGAATAAAAAAGGAAGAAGTAATTAAATTGGACTAAATCTTACAAGTTTTATAATGAAAAACTCATCAATTCTAAATTCAATTATACTCACCGAAATTTACGATATCAAAAATCTTTAGGGTTTTATCCAAACTAATGGTAGCTGCATAAACTCCGTTGTAACTAGCAGCTAAACCATGAATTGCCATGATATGAGCTCTAAAATGTTTAACGAATTCTATCAATTCATCCTGTTTCTTCCAGAATTTTACGTGGCCATCGCAACTTGCTGTTATTACAAAATTTGTTCTGGGGAGAAGAAGAAAGAATAATTAATTTCTTAGAATTAAAAGAGACAACAAAAAATCTTCTAAATTCCAATCCACTCTCCCCTCAAATTTGTTAGCATTGTATTTCGTTTCCAAAACATTATGATCCTGTGTGATGAGTTATTCGTCAACCATTCTTATTAATAGAGCAGAATAGAATACAGTTTTATATCTACCCAAGCATTATTCTTATTTTTATTTTTTATCTTTCATTAAATATCCAACAATACCTACTTGGTGACAATGATGTGGGTTACAACATCTCTATGCATATATGACTTCTCATAACACTCGCAGCAGGGTAAATTATCAACATAAACTTTCTCATACTCCAGAACTTGAAAATAAAAAAATTCAAAATGTATTATTGTTATTTCCCTTCGATTATACTTTGGCATTGTTTTGCAACCAACTAATTGTAATCCTAATAGAGTCAAAGCAACTTAGATTTCCAGATGAGCATTAAATAAATAAATAATTTAAAAAATTCATAATCACGTTCGTGAAGTGCGACTCTGACAGGTTAAACGATCACCCCAAAAACCCAATACCTTTTTGTTTTTTCACAGGTGCAGCTTCCGCAAGTTTGGGACCAACCCATTCATCATCACCCTCATCCTCCCCTGTTTCTCGCTTCTCCCCTGACATTTTCCTACTAAAATCTCCAAAATTAAAAAATCACAACTGTATCAAAACACTCGTCACTTATGCATCTTCCAACTTTTCAACGTCACCAACACACGTTCCCCTGACACAACCATTTTGGCGCGATCTTCCAACCCCGTCCCCCCATTGGCCCTTCCCCTTCTCCAATCTCCATCGATCGCCCATTTCTAATCGCCCATTGTACACCCCCCTCCCCCAAAAAAACCTCAAGGTCAATTTACAACGACATTCAACCGACGACGGAAGCCCCCCTCCGCCATTTTGCCACCCAACCCGAAAATAAAAAACCCATTCACCCTAGAAAACATCGGACCTCATGGAACAACTCTCCAAAAAAACCCTTGTTATTCACCCCCAAAGATCTCTCATCGATCGATCCCCCCCGGTCAATCTTATCCATAATCTACAAACTTTCCCCTTCCTCTCCCTTCCCCCCCCCTCCCTCCCAACGACAATCCGCGGCATCTCCGGCTTGGTAGCGACGTAATAAGTGTAGTTGCACACGGCCCTCCAACGCAGCCGGCTTTTCCACCGCTCCAATCACAGCCCTCGAAGTATCAAAATGGCACTGCAAAAGAAAATATCATCCCTCCAAGCCCCAAATAATCGATCAATTCTCCCTCCCCCTGCTCACAATGGTAATGTTAAATTATTCCGATGCAATAATGCCGATAAAAAGTGATAAACCTCGTCTCTGAATTGATTTTGAGGCGGCAATTGACTAGTGCAGTCTGACTGGTGGGGATGCAGGGGTTGCGTTCAGCGAATAAATCCAGTGGTGTTTGGCGGGCAGCAATACGCCGATTGGTCCTTCCATAGTTCTTGCTCTCCCCTGTTTGTAGCCGATGGTTGCTTACAGACGTCTGGCCCCTTAAAGCATCGGTACGTTTAACAAACCGACTAAAAATTACGTCGACTTAATTCCCACAAGCGCGTAATCATTAGCCACGAGTTCGTGTTAAATCATAACCAGAATTGACGTGAGTCAATAATCAAACAAATAAATAATAAATTGTTGGATTATTTGGAGGAAATCGTGAAGGTGAGTTTTTCATCAATTACCCTTGAATTACTGGTGATGTAGGGCTGATAAGGGCAACCCCCATAGACCCCATGATTTTTTACCATTTTGTGGACGGCGCGGTCATGATTTCACATGCGGAGAACCGGAGATCCCTCAGCCCCGCTCTCTCATTTTGTGAAACCCTACACGTGGTCGCGGTATCCATTGCTCCGAATTTCAGAAAATTGTGCTTTGATCCCCGCTATTCCCGGGTAATAATCCCTCCCAACTGCATACATTTTGTGGAATTTTTTTTTTATGCACCCCTTCGGCGCTCACGCGACTGCTCCTCCGTGTGGGTCTCTCTTTCTCTCTCGCCCTCTCTTCCACACACACACACGCACATCTCCGGTGGTTCATCTCTCTCTCTGGTTGAGTTCGCGTCTGTCGTTTTGCCCACTGAGAATTTTTTTTCCACACGAAAAGGAGTAAATGGATGGGTGTAATGGAGGCTGGGGGAGGGGGAACATATTGGACGAGTAAAAGTGATAAGAAAAAAAAATGGACTGGCCAGTTAGCGGCGTCCCTCTCGAATGCCATCTTCCGCGCCATTGCATGCTTATTTCGCGAAAGAGGGGGCGCGTGAGCCACGTTGTCTGGCGGATATTTGATGATTATATTGTTTCATGTGGTATTGTTGTTGGCTTTTTAGCGAGTATTTTCAGGTGAAATTCAGGGGCACGGGGAATTTATTGGTCTGGGGATATTATTTGATTTGTCAACAGTTACGGGGGACATTAAATCCGGCTACTTTGGGAGGACGCGGTGGGAAACACGTGTACCCTCCATACCCCCTCCCCTCGTGGTTCGATGCAAGATGCCATTTTCTTCTACACTCTGTTCCATCCTTTCATTACACAAATCATTTGTGATAATTTTTTTCTTTTTTTTCGTTCGGGATGATATTGAGAGACAAATGGATAAAAGAAAACTCAAAATTCTCTGGATTCTTTACATTTTGGATTAAATGATGAATGAATAGTCCTGTTTTGCACTCTGCGGCATTAGAATATATAAGTTGGAATATATTATAATAATATAATATAATAATTGTAAACATTCTTCAATAGTTGTCATTATTTTGTCAAGAGATTCATTGGAATAATGAGAAATTTATTCATCTCAACAGATAATCAACCATAATGAGTTCGAGCGCGTGTTACAAATGCAACCGAATGGGCCACTTTGCACGTGAGTGCCCCCAGGGTGGTGCTGGTGGTGGACGCAGCGATCGTGGACGTGGTGATCGTGACGGTGGTTTCGGTAGAGGCCGTGAGAAATGCTTCAAGTGCAACCAATTTGGACACTTTGCACGTGAGTGCAAGGAGGATCAGGACTTGTGCTACCGTTGCAACGGAGTTGGACACATTGCAAAAGACTGTCAGCAGGTAGAAAATGTTTGAGACTTTTACATTCAACATTTCAATGATTTTATTTTTTTAATTTATCTATTTTTCCATGCAAACATCAGACTAAAGATGCGTTTTTATTAATTTCCTCCAAAGGGACCTGAGATGAGCTGTTACACCTGCAACAAAACTGGTCATATTGCTCGTAGCTGCCCAGAGGGTGGCAACGATAGCGGTCGTTTTGCCCTTCAAAGTTGCTATAATTGCAACAAAACTGGTCACATTGCCCGCAACTGCACCGAAGCCGGTGGTAAAATTTGCTACGTGTGTGGCAAGAGCGGTCACATAAGTCGTGAGTGCGATCAGGACGACAGGAAGTAGAAAATACCCGTCAATATGTGCCAATCGCTGATTAAAATATGGCGATAAGCTGGTTTTTTTAGCAATGGTGCACACAGACCGACAACCGGACAAGAAAAAAAAAGAGAAAGGAAGAAAACAACATTTTTTTTTGCTAGATAGGGATGTGCGGACGTCCACTCGGGTCTTGAAGCGTATTTATCCGGTATTAAAACATAATAATGATGAACCACTAAAGGGTATCCTGCAAAACACAAGTAAATTCAATGGAATGATGAATAATAGAATGGTTAATGGCTCGAAATACTTTGCAATTTTTTTTTTTTTCGCTTCAGTGGGAAAATTATTCCTCTCCCACAACGACGTACCCCTCCTCCCCAACATTTTTCCCCCCTCAGCCATGGCTACTTGACGACCAATAACTCTTTGATTTCCTCTTCTCAATTCTCTTTTTCTTTATTTGTCTCCGAGTTTTTATTCCTGTTAATACCACTCACACGTGCGTCACCCGCACAAAATCAAACACAAGTTTTCATTTACTAGATTATAACATTTTTTTTTTGAGAAGGATTTGGTTTACACAAAGTCGAGTACTACACAATATGCGATAATTCAATTGGTTTTAAAAAGACGAAGGAAATGGAAAGAAAATCATAACGAAGAACCCCTAATACTTATAACCAAGACAAGAACATGAATAACGATGTTGTGTAATAATTATTAAAAAGAAAGGAAAATGAAGAAAAAGTGATGAAAGAAAAAAAACACATTGGATTTTCATCTCAACGTTTAGAATTATGAAGCCCTTATTCCTCATCCCCCCACCCCCTCCCCACCAATTTCATTATTAATGACCTCTCAATTTATTGCATTGATAGAAAATACTTGCATAATTTTTTTTATTTAAAAAAAAAACGATGCAAGATGTATGGATAATGAGTTTCACATGAAGCATATGAAACATGTGAAGTTGAATGATGAAAAATTTATTCGTAATAATTCGAATAATAACTCTTTAAAAAAATAGTTCAAGTCCGAGTTACAATTTTTTTCAGACTTTTCATGCATTTGGAAGTAATGAATTGTAATGGGGATTTAACAATAATAATAGAACAGAGTGTTTTTTTAGGAAATGAACACTGAATCCAATGAAACAGCGCTCTTAGGCTTCTTCTTCTTTTTCTTTAACTCTTCTGTTAGGAAGATATCGCAAATAGTAACTAGTAATATAATGATTATAATAATTAATGATTAAAAAGCAAAATGATTGTGGAAACGCTGGTTGATAGCGCATTTAATAATAAATTTGAAAACAATTAATACCTGCGGTATCCACGCATCTTGTATCTCTTTCTCCTTAACGAACAGTCCCGAGACGAGAATAATAACAAAATTGACTATTGATCGACGTGAGTAACGACTAATAAATTAATAACGATGATAGAAAGTCACGAGGAATAATAATAGATGAAAAAATCAATTGAGTAAAGATTTTCATGTGTGAGAAATCTAGATCTTAGATGTATTTGAAGAATAATGGAATAGGAATTAATGAGGATTTTGTAATGCTGATGATCATTCGTGCAATGGCGTGGGGATTATTGAAAATCACATTTCAATTTTTTCATCAACATTTCATTGGTTGCTTTGGACGAAATATTTCTTATGATTTTCTTCATTTTTTTACGAATTATAAATTCATAACGACAATTATGAAAAGAGTGTGAATTTTTCTTGGTATTAAAGAAGTTTTGAAAATGAAAAAAAAAAAGGATCATTGTGTGAAAAAAATTGTGTTTTCTATATTCTAAATGATGGAAGAGCGCCTAATGAAGATTTTGTAATGAGTTTTTACTTTAATTTTATTGTTTTTTTTATATCCTCACGCGTTAACTGAAACATACCTCGTTACTGGATATGTGTATATGTCTGTTGCACGTGTATATACATATATGTACACAGGGACGAGCAAGGAGCTGTATTTTGTACTGTAAAAAGATATATATACTCTGGTCGTTGCTGGTGACTGATTCCAATAATTGTGCATACATCGTGGTAAAGAGGAAGGGAATTGTATTCATTATTCTCTTAATGCTCATTATTTCAAAATTCATGAACAACGTGCAACGATCTATACCAATTGTTACATTCATCGTCATCTTTTAGAGGAAGTGGAAATGCAGGAGGAGATGAGTCTGGATGAATCATTGCGATACTATTTTTTAATGAGAATTGATGGTAATTGAGGAGCATGAGACGTACATTGAATTTATACTACAGTATCCGACGTGAAATAAAAGTTATTGACTCAGCGAATGATTTTTTTTTCCCACAGGCTAATTTTTTCGCATAATTCTTGGTAATGAAAGGCATTGAGTCGATATTTGCGGGATTTTACTATTGTTTCATGGCGTTAACAGGCCTTGGGAGTAAAAAAAAAATACTGAAATGCGGGGGAAAATTTGGGCCATGAATTGTTAGCCAAAAAGGGAAGAAAAAATTTGGAGAATATCGTGAAAAATTTGTTCTTTCCTGGGAATTGGATGGAACGAGTTAAAGGTGATTTGAAGAGGATGAATAATTTGAAGAAATGTTCAAGAGTTCGAAGTGATTGACTCGTTTGGGGCTACCATCTTGCTTGGATACCATGCCCTCTCTCTGTCGTGAAGGGCTTGTCAAATTTTTTTTTTAAATCCAACTCAATCTCTTCCAAATTCCTAATATAATCCCCTTTTCTTTAACATTCGACATTTTCAGCATTTGTGAATCCGTTTTTGTAAACATTTCTTAAAATTATTTATCCTTTCTTTAAAATTAATAAGTTTCTTAAGCCATGTTTCAGATTTCTGCATTCTCTATTGAGTTTGGCTGAGAATTCATGGCATATAGTTTTTCCTGCACTTCAGTATTTTTTTTTACTCCCGCGGCTTCGCAGCTCATCCTGAAGAAATTGAATGGGCCAATCTCAGACTACTCTCGTTTTATAAAAAATTCAAAATTAAGAATAATCTTGCCAGCAGCGACAATGTATATTACCTGTTTCCATATTTCTAACACCCAAGCGTATCTGAACTAGTGAATTGGGAGCACTAAATGTTTATAAAGGGATTAACCGGGAGTTGACATGTCGAACGATAACATTTTATACTCTTCATTAACTCTTTAGTCTCAGTAGACACTTGTACCGTATTTGCCATTTGTTTTTACTAAAAAGAGAGGAGACGATAGGAAAATTAAGAACAGTTGGTTGTTACGTTGAAATACAGCTTGACTGTTATGAATAGACTGATCAATTGATATTTTTTAACAACGATGGGCTGAATTTATTATCCTCGAGCAGCAAGTCAATCAGAGCCTAGCTACTTCTATTACCATTTCTAGAGATAGAATTTTCAAATGACTGGCTGGGAGACAAATTTATTCAAAATTACCTCACCTCTTTTCCAATGATTTTCCAACATTTATATTACAGTTGATTGCGATGTATTTGTTTGACTCAGATTCGAGGAGAAAGAAAAATTGTTCAATAATAAAAATATTAATGTCCAAATCTTCTATTTTGCCTAATTTATTCCTAATTGATTAGAAAACCCCGAAGAAAATACTTCAAAGAATTGCAACAGTGATAATTCCACTATTTTGGGGCATAACATATTATTCAATGAGAATTGCATAAAACAGAATACAAAGAAGAATAGAATAAACAATTACGATTACTCTTAACATGGATTTATTAATTCTATACAAATCGTGAGGCTATTGCAATTAATTTCGTGTAATCCGCACCCTTCGAATGCGTTTTCTCCTTCAAAATTGTTCTCAGTATGTGGGGAATGGGCACGTGAATCCTAGTACCAAGGGGAGTTCCACTGTCATCTATCAGAACGATGTTGTTGGAGTCGAACCTGGGGACTTTTGTAGTCTGCTTCTGCTTCAGACCCACGAGAATTCCTTTCTTCTTCTCACCTTTTATGGCAACTAAAACTCGATCCCCTACAACATTAATTAGAAAATTTGAATTGAGGATTTCATTAGGCCGTTTATTTTTGTATTCTTTTTGTTAAGAAAGACTCACCAATGTAACCAACTCCTTTTTTATTATAAATATGGATACATTTTGGTGGCTTTCCTTCCATCATAGCTTGCTTTCCAATTTCGCTGTTGTCGACTACTCTTAATCGAGATAATTTTCTTATTTCGTTCTGAATTGTGGTCGTGTGGAAGGCACGACACAATAATAATCCTTTCAGGCTCATGTTGATGAGAATGCTTTCATTTATATTCTCAGCTGTAACGAATGAATAGAAGATCAATAGACAATTGCAGAAACTCAATTTTTTTTTTTTGTGGAGTAAGTGATGATAGAGTTGTTGACAGTGATAATAAATCAATAAATGTTGAAGACTGTGAAATTTAGAGGTGTTACCTGCTTTATTTTATCGATGATAATAAGAAAAATTCATCAAAGGTTATGCATACACCACTATTCACAACACGAAAATATACACTAGTTTCGTCGATATATTATCGACATCTCCAAACTCTCCCTCCCTATCTTTAAAAGTGTTCTCTTCTACATTTGTACATTAACTATTACAAAAGGAGAATTTTTTAATCATAATAATGTCCATTAATGTCAATGATTCCTTGACAAATCTGAATAAATCAAAGTACAAAGAATAATGAGAAAGAAACGAAACGAAAATAAATTGACGTATCATTCGCCTCAGCTGAAGCTGGTCTCAGTGGTTTTGTTTACATCAAGAGAGTGACCAAATTGGAAAATATTATATTTTTAATAGACAGATCAGATCTAATAATTATGGCAGAAGAAACTGCAGATGAGCCAGTGGCAGTTTGCGAGCCCTCGAAGAAGATAAATGTCATCAGTAAGGAAGCAGTTCACCAAATCTGCTCGGGACAGGTGAGGTTATCAAAAAATATCTTCAATATAATATCATTAATCCTTTCATTTTTTAACGGATAAGAATTAAATAAATTACGTCAGGTGGTCCTGGATCTGGCTGTTGCGATAAAAGAATTGGTGGAAAATAGTCTTGACAGTGGAGCTACATATGTCGACATCAAGTTGGTAGATTATGGACAAACTTGTATTACAGTCAGTGATAATGGTTCTGGTGTCCTGGAGACTGATTTCGAAGGACTAGGTAATATAAATTTTCATTATGAAATAATGTCATTTTTCAATATCTCGTGACCAAATGATACAATTGTCAGTGAATCTCTTTTTAAGCTCTGAAAAAATACCTTATGGAAATGAAGTTATTAAAGATTAAAACAGGATTGCCCTATGCCGTTGTCTACTGAATACTTTTTTTAATTTGCCATTGTTCTCCACATTGCCAGGCCTCAAGCATCACACATCAAAGCTCCGAGATTTCTCCGATATCTTCGGGATCTCCACCTTCGGCTTCAGAGGCGAAGCCCTAAGTTCCCTCTGCTCCCTCTCAGACCTCAGCATAACAACAAGACACTCGACTGTTCCCCACGCCTTCAAGCTCCACTTCAATAAGAATGGAAACCTCACGAAGAAGGAGGTCTGCGCACGAGAGGTGGGAACAACTGTCTCAGTCAGGAACATCTTCAAGAGCCTCCCAGTCCGAGCAAAGGAGTTCCAAAGAAACATAAAAAAAGAATTTACCAAAGCCCTGCAGGTGCTCTATGGCTACTGCCTGGTGTCAACTGGAATAAAAATCACATGTTCCAACAATAAAGATGGGAAGACGAGTGTTGTTGTGAGCACCACTGGATCTGATGATGTCTTGATCAACGCATCCTCAGTATTCGGAAAAAAATCCCTCAAAGGAATTGAGAGGATCGATCTGGTCCAGCCTGACGAGGCAGTTCTGCAAGACTTTAATTTACCTGAAGACATTTCAGTGAACTTCTCCTGGGAATTCTACAGCAGCAGCTGTGAACACAGGATGGGCTGCGCCTCACCGAACCGCCAGTTCTTTTACATCAATGGAAGACCCTGTGTTCTCACGAAAATAAATAAATTGATTAATCATGTTTATCACAAGTACAACAACAAGCAGTACCCCTTCGTCTACTTGAACCTGAAGCTGCCACAGGAGACAGCAGACGTCAATGTCACCCCTGATAAGAGAACTATTTTCCTGACCCAGGAGAAGGTCATTCTGGCAGTTGTCAAGATGAGTCTCCAACAGAAGTGGAATAAAATGCAGGGGAATTACACGAGTTTGAGTCTCGATGAGATACAGAATTCTCTCAAGAGATCGTTACCAATGTCTCCGGTTGATCGACCTCCCAGCAAGAAGCAAATGGTCTCGGTGAACAAGTCTGAGGAGAAGGAGACATCTGTTGCTGTCAGTCGAGGGGATGATAGCAACAGATGTCATGTGTTTCCAACAGAGAAATTACCAGATATCGACATGGAAATCAATTTCAAATCGATTAAAGCTGCTGTTGAGCTCAAGAGGAGGAGGAGACGGGAGCAGAGGAGGAATGAAGATGTTGAGATTAAATACAGGGCTGAGATCGATACGAAGAGTGCAGATGCTGAGAGGGAATTGCAGAAGGGACTGACTACTGAATCATTCGCCAAGGTAAAAAGTGGGAAAGGAGATTTTTTTGAAAATGTTTTTTCATGAGTTGTCTTCCATATGAATATTGTAATTCTTATACTTTTGAAATTCTATCAAATGTCTATTAAAAAAATGGTAAAGAATGAGGAAATAATTAAATTTATCAATTGATCCTTTCATCTCGCAGATGAAAATCATTGGACAATTCAACCTAGGTTTCATAATCTCCCAACTAGACGCCGATCTCTTCATAATTGATCAGCACGCAACCGATGAGAAATACCGTTTCGAGAAGCTCTCAAACGAGACAAAACTAAAGACTCAGAAGCTTATAGCACCGAAGTCTCTGAACTTCACGTCATTGAACGAAACGATAGTCATGGAGAACCAGAACTTGTTCGACGCCAACGGTTTCACCCTGTCCATCACTCCTGACGCTCAACCAGGCCAACGAGTCCATTTGACAGGAATGCCAGTGAGTGGGAATTGGCAGTTTGGGGAGGAGGACCTCGAGGAGCTCATTTTTTTGATCAGGGAGGGGGGCACAGAGGGCATCAAGGACCAGACAATCCTCAGGCCCAGTAGAGTACGCTCGATGCTGGCGTCGAGGGCCTGTCGAGGAGCTGTGATGATTGGAAAAGCTCTCAATACTTCAGAAATGAGGAGATTGATCACTCAGATGGGGATGATCAAACATCCTTGGAATTGCCCTCATGGCAGGCCCACGATAAGACATTTGTTGTCACTTAAACTATTGAGGAAAATTCATGGTAATTTTTCAATATTCTGTAAATTTATCTTGAATTGTTTCGATGATGAGAATAATTGATCAAAACTCCACGGAATTATTTTCATGATGGACACTTATTTGTTCTCAAATTCGTAAAAAAAGTTTAAAAAGTTTAATAACTTGCAGATTAGGTCCATCAGGACCGCAGGAGCCCATGAAGAGACTATTGGTGAGAATATTGAACTTGTTTCAAGTTGTCATCCAGCCATAATAGGAAAATGATGAAGGAATAATTTGTATATTATATAATTTGTGAAACAATATTTTCAATAAAATAATGCCTATGAGGATGCTCAGTATCAACGATAAACTGTAAAAAAAAAAGATAAATGCACGGTTGGCTGGAATTTCGAATCTAGAATCATTGCGAGACCACGGCGCCACCTTATCTCCTACCATATTTCGATTTTTACATTTTGCTCCAAATATATGTTGCTTGTAGGATGTTGCCAAAATATTCTCCATGAATAAAAAAATTTACGAATAGAATATTTTATGAATTGCAAATTCAAGCGGACAGATTAATTAACCTCCTTACGTTTTCCATCACTTGCTGGTGTTTAGCTATAGAACGTACATCGGGCACGGGAATATTCGGGAAATGTGGCCTCTAGCCGCGTAAACCCTGAAGACGCGCGGACGCGGCTTCACGCGCTGGGGTGGGGACACGTCCGTGCGTCCGCCATACTCGGTCAGTTACCAAACGGTACATTGCTCCGTTGAGCTCATTCACCTCCAATAACTGCTTTTTTTAAACAAATAACTACGTGAAAAGTGCGTAAAAACCCTCAGCAATTGTTCAAGGTACGGGAGTGTATCATATTACGTTCAATGAATTTTAAAAAACAAGCATTCTTCCTTCAATTGAGTCATTCTAATTTCAAACGCTCAAAGTTGGACTCCGGAACGCCGACAATTGATCAACAATCAGACTTTGCAAATAATTTCACAGCAATATTTGATTTCTATCGTTCGATTTTTCATTTCCTTCTCAATGGAGGAGTCGGAGTAGATGAGATTGCGGGGCTTTGGGGATGATTTCCTAGACATATGCACGTTAACCTAGAAATTGACGGTGGGATGGGATCAAGAGATAATCAATGGGATTTTAATTGCTCTCCAGGCATTTGAGGTTCCATTTGTTGCCACGATGGGAGACTCTGATGACGAGTACGACAGGAAACGGAGAGATAAGTTTAGAGGGGAAAGACCTGAATCGTACTCCAGAGAGGGCAGGAGGGATGACAGACGACGTGATGAGTGGGCTGAAAGGTGAGAAAATTATTTTTTTCCATTAATTTTCTGTCATTCATGCAATTTATTCATGCAATTATTATGCATTGATGAGAATCAGTCTTGGGAATTCGAAACTTTGGGAATTCGTAATATTTTTCATTCAATCTCACAACTAGCAACAAAAAACTTCAAAAGAATAATATCTCTACATTCCCCTCTAAAGTTGTTGTTGTTAAAAAAAGAGAGTTGACGAATTTTGAATTGAATTATTCAGAGAATGGTCCAGTAGAGCCAGAGCTCGTCCAGATTACCGAGAATATCGTGGAGGGGGTGGAGGTGGCAGGGAGAGATACAGTCCAGGCAGATCTCAGGACATGGCACCCCCGATGAAACGTATGCGATCTGATTGGGACGATCGAGGCTCGAGGTACCCACACTCGGATTATTACGGCGGTGGTGGGGGAGGGGGAGGGGGCTCGTGGGGTCCAGACCACTATCCCCCACATCATCATGCCAATCATCACTATGGCAACCACAACAACAGCGGCAGCAGCGCCAGGTTGGTTTGAACCTCTTCACTTGTTTCAGTTTTTCTCGTGAGGACGAGATATTTTGGGGATTTGGTGCATAAAAATATAAACCATTATGTCAGTTAATCGGGGGAGAGGTAGATTTCCTATGGTTTTTTGGGGCAATATACGGTGAATATTAGACACTATTGCATGATTTTTTCAGCCATTTTTGTGGCAGTAATTGTTTCAACTTTATTGTTTTGGGACAGAAGGGGGAAAACAAATGGCGATGATTGGACACAGTTAATTGTGAAGAAACAACATTTGAAACAGACATTTCAAATGATATTTAATTCATTAATATTTCTCTGTTCTATCGGAATGAGAAATTGCATGGAATTTTTTTTATTTTATAGAATTGTCAAATTAGCATGCAATAGTTAATTACGACGAAATAGTTACGACTCTGTGAAATAGTTATTTCAAATTAATTATTTTGGCTGAATGAATATTATCTATATTTTCATATTTCTAAAATTGAAATGATATAGAGACTCGGTAATTTGTTCTATTAAAATTAATGATTCACTAGTATTTTTTCTTTCAATATAAGATGGAAAAATTCGTCAAAAAAATGTTTTTAAATTTCAGTCGAGAGGTAGCTGGCAACTTCAGCAACTCAAACGTTGAAACCCAGCCCCCAATGATGACGTTCAAAGCCTTCCTGGTAACCCAGGAGGACACGATAACCGACGAGGAGGCGATAAAACGTTACAACGAGTACAAACTCGAGTTCCGTCGTCAGCAGCTGAACGAGTTCTTCGTGGCCCACAAGGACGAGGAGTGGTAAGTCCTCCGACCCCCTCCCGACCCCAAAAAACCCCCCATCAATGACTCAATCAACTGTCACAATTACCAAGTTCTTTCGTCATTGAGGGAATCTTAAATAATTAAAAAAAAAAAAGCTCTGCAAGTGTTTAACGAATGTTATCCCCACAGCGTGCAGTGCCTGCCAACGGTCTCCGTTAATTTATGAAAAATTTCGGGCATCGAGACTGAAGACAAATATATTCTTTCAATTGCACATTTTTAATAGACCATGAGTCTGGTGAAATGGTTGATTATATCAGGATTCATTGGGATTAATTTTGATAGCGAGCTGGGCGCGCAAAGCCCGACGTTGAATAAATATGCTCGCATGTTTAGGCCGCGTTTTTAAAACCGCATTGATAGGTTTCGATGAAATTTGAGGGTAAAGAGAAAATACAGAGAAAGTAGGAAATGATAGTGATCAACAGGTGAGGCTCTACAACAAAGTACCTGACACATGTCGAATTATCCAACGTTTTTTATTATTAATTGTTAATGAATTCAATCGAAAAATCCAGAATTAATATTTTTTTTTGTTCTCCTTGAGATGATCTTTTTGTTCATTTTTCATTAGAGTATTTCTGTGGGCATTGGTGAGATCAATGCAGTAATTATTTCACCATGTCGGAGTTTTTCTATTGAAATTAATCATTAAAGTTTTGATAATGAGTTGACGATTTTTGTATTTGTTTTGTTGGTAATATTTGGCTTTTGGTGGTAGGTTCAAGATTAAATATCACCCTGAAGAGTCGATTAAGAGAAAGGATGAACAGATTTCAGCGTTGAAGGTATGTTTTCATAATTACGAAATCATGATTCACGATGAGAAACACACATCATATTTATGGATGATGATGATGAGTTGGAGACTGTTATTTTGGAATTTTCATCGATTGCAGAAACGTGTGGAAGTTTTTTTGGAACTTTTAAACTCAGGACAAATCGAGAAAGTTTCAGTAGACTCTGATCAGTCGGATGCGTTGCTGCATTTGTTGGATTCAGTTGTTATTAAGCTTGAGGGGGGAACTGAGGAGGACTTGAAGATTCTAGACTCGAAGCCTCAGGTTCCAGTGATGAAAGAGCTCGTGAGGAGAGAGAAGGAGAAGGAGAAGGAAAAGGAAAAGGAAAAGGAGAAAGAGCAGGAGAAGGAGAAAGACAAAGAGGAGGAAAAGGCGGAGAAGGAGGAGGACAAGGAGAAAGAGAAGGTTGAGGAGAAGAAGAAGGATGAGGAGGAGAAGGAGGAGGACGAGGAGGAGGAGGAGAAAATGGAGACGAGTGAGGATAAAGAGGACAGGTGACTTTTTTATTATTGTTGCCTATTACATTTTATGAGAATATTTTTATTTCATTTACTAGTAACCAGTTATTAGTGACAGTTTTTATTGATTTTTTAATCAAATTGTGAATTGTGAAAATGACGAAATTATTTTAAATTTGAGTGCAATTGTCACTTGCCAGCCAACGAGATCTAAACATTCACTTCCTTTCAGCGAAGAGAAGCCCTCAGAGGCAATGGACCAAGAGACTCCAGTTTCAGACGAGCAGAACGGAGACATTGAGATGAAGCCTCCCTCGGAGCCAGTAGCCCCAGAAGATGCGCCAAAGCCGACACCGGATCCTTCAGAGGAGACCTTCAACCTCCCTGAGGAAGCACCCTCCGAGCCCTCTGAGCTCCCAAACCCCAAAAAACGCAAAAGAACCGATTCGAACTCCAGTTCCTCGTGGTCCTCCACCAGTTCCTCCTCAGACAGCGAGAAACCAGAGACACCAAAAGAGTCCGCAAAACCCGAAACCGAGGAGACGGTCGAGGCCCCAGAAGAGGCCTCCAAAACGGCTGAAGAAGCACCCAAACCTGAAAAGCCAGAACAAGAGCAAACAGGAGAAACTGAAGAGGCCCAGCAGAAGGAGGAGTCACCCCCTTCCCCAAAGAAGAAGGACCCTGAACCGGAAGCTGTGATCGACCTAGCCTCCGAGGACAAGGAGAAGGAACCCAGAGCCCTCCACAAGACCAGCAGCATTTTCCTCAGGAATCTAGCACCCACGATAACGAAAGCTGAGGTGGAAGCCATGTGCAAACGCTTTCCAGGCTTCCTCAGGGTGGCTATTGCTGACCCTCAACCTGAACGTCGATGGTTTCGGAGGGGTTGGGTATCCTTTGAACGTCAGGTGTGTGATAAAACGTTTTCAAGAGTACGTCAATGAAATGCAGAAAATATTCCAGACATTTTTTTCCTGTATTGATAGAATTGATGAATATAAAATCAATTGCAATTCATCTTTGTGCCTTTATTTTGTTCATTAGTGGTTTTGAAAAATAAAATTTCCTTGAAAAATATCGATGAAATTTGTTCACAGGTGAATATCAAGGAGATCTGCTGGAGTCTCAACAACATCAGACTCCGTGACTGCGAGCTGGGAGCTATTGTTAATCGAGACCTGATCAGACGAATCAGAACAGCGAATGGAATAACAGCTCACAAGCAGGTGGTTCGTTACGACATAAAACTGTCAGCAAAGATTGTTCATAATCTTGACACGAGGCTGGGTCTGTGGAGTGACGATAAGAAGGAGGAGAGTGAGAAGGAGGGGAGGAATGATATGGAGCAAGCTGCCTTTGGACTGTCCTCGAAGAATCCAGTTCTGAAAAACATCACGGATTACCTGATTGAGGAGGCCTCTGCTGAGGAAGAGGAGCTCCTGGGGATGTCTGGGGAACAGGAGGAGGGACAGCTGGGGGACGGAGAGGGCCCCATCGAACGAGATCCCACTCTGATTATGGTTCTCGATCGATTGATCCTCTATTTGAGGATCGTTCACTCGGTGGATTATTACAATCACTGCGAGTATCCTAATGAGGACGAGATGCCCAACAGGTGAGATTCAATAATTCAACTTGTGTGAAAAATATCAATAATAATGAATTAATTAATAATAAATAAATAGGTGTGGAATTATGCACGTAAGAGGGCCTCCACCAGCTGCCAAAGTCTCCTCTTCAGAATTGAGTGAATACAGTAGAAATTTTGAGGGAAAAATGTCGGCATTTCTCGCCCCCGTGGCTACAGTACCCTCTGAAGAATTCGAGAAGCTTGGGGCTAAGGACGCCGAGGCTGAAATCGAGAAGTTCGTCCAGGCGAACACTCAAGAATTGTCCAAGGACAAGTGGCTGTGTCCACTCAGTGGGAAGAAGTTCAAGGGGCCTGACTTCATAAGAAAGCACATCTTCAATAAGCATGCGGAGAAGGTAGCTGAAGTGAAGGCCGAGGCTGAGTACTTCAATAATTATCTCAAGGACCCCAAGAGACCGATTTTACCGGAACATCCTGGGAATAAGGCGCCTGTTAGGGAGGCACCCAGAGAGAGCTTTCCCCATTATGGAGGGATGGGAGGGTGAGGGTTTTTTGTTATTAAATTACGATATATATCTAACAAAAGCTGAAATTTTGATGAAATTTCGATAGAATGTCATTCTACAGTTGAATTCACACTTTTATTATGGATTATTATGATTAATAATTATTACTAATCATTAATTTCTCAGAAACAAGTCCTATTTTTGCAAAAAAAAAATGTTTAAATTCATGAAGATTAATTTCACAATTCATATTTATATTTTGTTTGTTCTCATTATTTCAGATTCGGTGGATTTGGCGGTGGAAACTTTGGAGGTTCACGAGGCGGTTTTGGGGGTGGCTATGGCGGTGGTTTCGGTGGTGGATTTGGAATGCCACGTCCTAATCGTGGTGGATTCAACAGAGGACGGTAAGATGATAATTTCAATCTTTAAACACGTGCACTCACTGTCAAAAACTTTTCTTCATCTTTTGACAATTAACGATTTTATATTCTTATTCTTGGGGAAAAAATGAGACTGGTTCTCTATCGTGGTTTATAATGATGCTTCCAGGGCCGCTCCAGAATCTACATCGAGACCAATTATTAGTTATAATGACCTGGACCATTTAGACGACGATATATTCTAATTTTTTCACAAGAGAGAATTCCTGGATCATTTAATTAACGAATCGTTACGTATATTCGCTATTATGGAGGCACCAGTCACAATTTCCAAACATTTGAATCAAGAATCGTTTACTCGATGATTACTTCTTTGGTAATTACATGAATTTATTGTTTGTTTCCACTTTTACTATTTAATTATTTGATTTAAAGTGATTTATAATGCTTTAAAACCAGTTGAGATACTTGAAATAGTGTGAGAACAGGTGCCTCGATGGTAAATACTTACGTACAAGAGATAAAATCAAATGAAAAAACAATTGTAAATACTTGAAACTGAAATATCAGGAATATCTTGAAATTGACAAAACACTATTGTAGATTGGATGACGATAAAATGAAAATCAACATAAAAGACCATGAACTGTCGAGATAAACAAGTAAATGTATTTGTTGTAATGAATTTGTCAATTTATTTTATTAAAGGATAAGAAATGTCCCATCCACTCCTATTTCACCTGGAAATTAACGAAATAATGACATAATAAAATAATTTAAACACTTAGATATTTATTTGTTTATTTTCAATGCACGTGATGATGATAGACCACCGCTTGAAATTACATAAATAATCGAATGAAAGATAAATGTTGAAAGAATTCGAAAAGACGAAAGATAAAATAAAGCTAATGGTTTTTATCGTTTTTGCCAATTTCCAGTGGTGGCGGTGGCGACTTCCGGCCGGTTATTCACTATCGAGACCTCGACGCACCGAGAGAACCCGATGAATTTTTGTAAATGAAAAAACACAAATCATTTTCAAAAAATAATTAACAATTATTGACTGACACGATGAATTTATCATTAAAATCTCCTCCACATTGACAAATTGCGTGACCCTGTTGTGAGAGAAATATAGATAAGTACGATCAAGTACATTTATGTAAATACTGACACTTTGGAATTAAATGGTCGTTTGATTAATGTGTGAACACATTGAATTGTAACTGATCGATGCAATGAATTTAATAGTGACGGTGGACAGAAGGCAATTAGTTTTTTAAGGTAATCATACAATTTGGTGCGATTTTGGTCTTGGGTTGTAAGAAATTTGCAGGGTTGGTGATTAATAAATGCGGCTGATTTGCCTTGGAAATTGTCGCAATTTTTTTAACCTTTGAATATTAATTGAGAATTCCATTTTTAATGGATTCAAATGGGAATTGTTGAGTGGTGATGTGATGAGATATCATGTCATAAGAATTGACAAAAATTTTATGGAGAGAATATTTTTATTCTCTCGAGATATCTCTCTCTCTCTCTTGAGATATTATCCTAGTTTATTCAAGAGGGTAAAATTTGGATAATTCATTCCCCAAAAATTGTAATTAAAAAAAATCCCAACGATCAGGGCTTTTCTATCAAATTTGTTCAGGTCTAATCCCTCCCAGAAGGTTTGGAAAAAAAAAAATTGTGTCTGTACATCAAACCACCCCCGGAAGTTGTCGATTCAAAAAATAGTACACGCACGAAATAAAGAAACCGATGAAGAGAATAATTTCTACTAACAAAATATCTAACTATCACAAAATCTCCCGAAACATTGAAAAAGTACGAAATCCTCAAGTTTCTTTAAATACTATGAAATCTTGGCTATTTATTATCAAATCAAAATAATTGATGTATCGTACTCGTTTTTACAGTTATTTGCAATGATCCACTGTACAGTCTCTCGTATTTCTCTTTTGCTAATACTTTTTTTCATTAAGTTGAGTTTTATCTTGTCTGCCGCCTGATGCTGGAGGGAGTCGCACGGTCCCGGCAGTGCTGCTCGTCTGATTCGTCACCGCAATCGTCGATTCCGTTACACTTGAAGTTTCGAGTTATGCATCTCCCATTGCTGTGGGAATTAAAAAAGGATAATTTATTTGATACTTGCGAGATATTTTTGGGTCGTGTTTACTCGCAACCTTTTCATTTTTCTATATAATAATGAATAATCAACAAATTCAGTCATTTCAAATTTTTTACAAAAAATCTCTCAATATTTTTTTTTTGTAAAATCACGCCCTCCTGTATCAAAACGATCAAAACCATGACTAAAATGAATTTCAAGGTCAGTTTTTCTTGTGAATATCCCCTTTAGATTTTTAAACATTCATTAAAAACTGATAATGAAGATGAGTGGAGGACTCGATTAAATTATCTCAAAAACATGAGTGATTGTTGTTTTTTTGAATCGATTAGACTCACCGACATGTGAACTCGTGTTTATTACAACGACCCCGACAACCTCTGGGCTCGTCAGATCCGTCGGCACAATCTCTCAATCCATCACAGAACCTGGACTTGAGTATGCATTGACCGTTACTGCAGGTGTACTCGTTGCTCGATGGACAAGCTGAACCATTGAATCAGTTATTTTTACAGCGGATCAATCATTCAATTTGATGCCACGTTATGTTAGATAATTATTGAATTAGTATCGTCTCAAATTTTTAAATAATAATAATAAATAATTTTATTCAAAAGACTTGTAAAGAAGTAGAATTTCTAATTTTTCACATCTAAATGACTTGAAATATTGATTGAAATTGTTTTATTCAAAAGAATTCTATTCGACAAACATATAGTGATTGGCTTTTTATTTTAGAAAAATGAATAATTTCATTTCAACTTGGAATAATTGTTTCAATTAATATTCCATTAGAGAAAGCAACATGCGAATATACCACTAGGTCTCTCATGCATCTAAACTAGGGAATGTGCATAAAATATTTCTAAATAATGTACTCACACCAACCTAGGTCATCACCTACGAGAAAAGAGAAGAAGAATGAGAGCGATTCCACAAAAAAAACAAAAAAGAGTGAAAAAAAAACAAGAAATTATGAACGATGAAAGGGGGAGGAGTCAGATGGTACTAAATTATCACCTGTGATCTGCACTAAGCAGCAATTGCAAAGATACAACAAACGAATCTCAGAGGAATATCGACTTCCTATGGTGATAAATCAACTGTACGAAAATCGTTCATGGATAGGATAATTACGCCAATTACCCAAGTATACTCTTCACTCGCAATTAACTAATTAACAAAGCGTAGCTGTGTATCAAACAGACTGATTGCAGGGCTCTGGAAGATCAGGGATAAGGGGAGAAAAAGAATGATGATTGGAGGAGACATGGATCGAGTGGTGAATGACTTACCGAGGGTACAGTTAATCTCGTCAGTTGCATCCCAACAGTCGATTTTTCCGTCGCAGCGCTTCTCGAGGGGGAGGCACGATGTCTCGTTGCCACATTGGAAGTGCGTCTGGAGGTCGCACTCTGTGCACATGAATGAAACTTTGAGGAACTTTTGAGGAATTTGGATGGTATTTTATCTTTCGAAATTAATAAAAAAATATCTTGGTAATTTTATTCAGTCTTTAAATGTCAATTAATATCTTCAATTTTTCCATCCAAAGTTATTTGTCCTCATCTTTATGAATGGGACAATATGTCACTAGTTCATAAAGTCATCCTAATACATAAAAATGGAACCGGAAGCCATACAACAAGAAGTTAAACCGAAATCCGATAGAACAAACGCCCCGCCCCGTCAACTGGGCTAATGCCACCCCAACACCAGTTCCAAGGTCCCCAGATCGTCCCTCATTCATCCCCTCCCCTTCATTTTCACTCAAAAATAAAAATGAATAAGACACTTACTGCAGTTGTACTCGTCCGAGTGGTCATAACAATTCATGTGTCCGTCGCACCGTTTCACTGACGGGATGCATAGGCTGTTGGAGCACGTCCACTCGCCGTCCAAGCAGTAATGTTCCACCTCGACGCACCTAAACCCAGAAATAAAAAAACAAATTTTTGTTTCATATTTATTTCAGAAAAAAAAATTCTTCCCTGAAATAATGGAAACTTTATAATTTTTACTACACAAAATTTGACATTAGGACTTGAAAATTAATAAATTTAGGAATTAGATGATTTCAACATTCAAAAAATGAATGAAATGCCAAGATGAAAGAAATTTCAACTAAATGATTTATACCTGAAGGCATCGACATCAAGTCGATGGCACTTTTGCCTATTAACAAGACATAGTCCAGCACAACCAGTCGGATCCATGGAGTCCAGAGCAATTCTGCACACTGGTACATCCTCGTCGACGAGCGCAACACACACTTCGCCCTTGTAACAGTCATCACAGTGCCGTGTAATATTCATCGGTGTTATCACGCTCGGTGGCACTGGCGTTTCCGTTTCCTGTGGCTCTGTTACCGTGGTACTGAACTCAGGAAGTGGGATATTTGTCGTCGATGGTACTTGAACGAAGCTTGGGAGTGGAGGAGTTGACTCCTCGGGGCTGTTTATACCGATCAACAGTGGATGTGGATACGTTACGTTTGTGGAGGAGGGGTTTTCGCTCGAGCGAAGGTACTGCTGAATTATTTGGAGTTTCTCGGGTTCTGAAACATACGTGTTTCATTTTTTGTATGTTCATTCCATTTGGGGGGACATTTTTTTTTAGAGGGATGATGTTGAGTTGATTCATTTCACTGTAAAATTGCTGAAAATTCTCAGGAATAATTGTATTTCATCACGCTTAATTATCTAAAATCATATCTCCTCCCCCGTATTATCACAATATTCGATAATAATAATTTCTCTAAATATATTTTCTCTTCCTCAATTACCCGAAAAACATAAACCCCCAATACCTAATTATTATGAATTAATAAATTTTCGTTCGAGTTCTCCACTAATTAATTAATTTCCGAAGCTTCCTCAGTTACCCATTTTTTTCGCTCCTCATTTTACCATCTAGGGAAAAAATCGGGATGGTTCATTTAAAGCACGCATCTCCAGAATTTTTTGTGCAGAGCGTTAGGACTCTCATAACTCATTTGGCTCGGTCTGCCGGTCAAAGCCACTCGGTGTGACTATTCGATTAAAGTTTCCATTAATTTTACTGCAAATTGAGTCGTTCCTATTCCAACCCCACGTGACATGATTATTCAAAGTTGTAAAAGGGATAATTTCTAGGAGGAAATTGAATACGAGGATGCGAGCATCGTTTATACTCATCTAAAGTGACGTGTTATAATAAATAAATGATAAATCGTCAGGAATTAATTGATCCACCATTTGGTAGTTTTCCATGTGTTTCGGAAACTAGTGAATGGCGGAAATATCAAGAGACTTTTCTATAAGGAATTAAACTTATTATTTTCTTATTTTCCATTTATTATTTAAATATCACCATCAAGATAATTTAATATTCAAAAACCGATGGAGGAATTAAAATACGAGAAATTAAATCTACAAGCTGATTCATGCCATTTCTACCCTTTTGCAATGAAAATATTTATTTAATAACATTCATATTTACCGAAGACAATGTAGAGGGCTATTGCACCGATGCCCAGGAGTGCCAGGACGGCGATGAGAAGTAGAATAATGGATTTGGTGCAGCCCGTGCCGTCCAGCGGTCGAGCAAAGTGCAGAGTCCATCCGTGACGATTTTTTCGAAGTCGTGCGGGTTGAGGTGGCGGCTCACCTCGCACACTTCTTCGGAGGTTCACCCGGTTCTGGGAGGAGGGACTCTGGGTGCGTGTTGGTAACGAATATGCCCTCTAAAACAAAATAAAATTATTTCTCTCAATTTCTTAAACGAAATGAGTAAATTTCTCGAAATTTCAATTGAGTTTTTGGTGAATATCAAGCCCTTTTTTGTAGGTGAGGAAATTTTCAATAAAAAATGTAACATTTTCTAACATCTTCCTCTAAACCACTCATTACTAAAATAATTTGATTTTCTATTAAAAAAAAAAAAAGTCATTCTGTGACCGATTTTTGCTCCTTTTCTCTTTTAATTTCAATTTACCTGAAATTCCTCCATCGACAATCCATCCTCCCTTCCCCCTGTCACCACTTTTCGCTCTGCAAATAATTCAGAAGCGAACGGTAGACAAAATTCCCGAAAATCGATGGAACCCGATTTTTCCTGTACATTGAAATGATCGCGCAAGGGACGATCGTCGTAAGAACTCTCCAAGATCTTCATCCGGAAATTCCAAGATCCAAAAATATGAAATTGCATTCCCCCTCGCCAGCGCTCATTTTTCCCTCTCACAAATGGTGGAAGAACACGACTTTTCAAAACTCACGCATTCGATAATTTATTTCCCCCGAATTATTCTGATTACCTGGAGATCGCGAATACACGTGCACTCGCATTGGCGGGAGACACTCAACTGCTGCGTTTCCCATTGATTCATCATCACTGACATAATCTTGATCCTCACGTTACACTGAGGCGTCTTCTTTCATTCGAAATAGCATCACTTTTTTATATTTAATACCAAGGTTTCACGAATGTTTTTATTCTTGGTGACTGAGGGATTGCGTTTGCGGTCTCATTGCGCATTTAGATGAGAATTTTTCAGGGTTGTTCCACAGTAAATGAAATAAAATCATTATAGACAAAATAAATCCAAACTGAAATAGTTGTATTTCTCGTATATTAAACTATTTAAACACAATCCATTACAATTGGCAACTGAAACAACAATAATTAATTTAAAAAAATCACTTTGTAGTGAAAAAAGTATTGACTTATCCCTTTCCACCAATTAAAATTATCGTGCAATCAAGTATTTTACTACTTCAACCAATAATTTCTAAAAAAAAAAAAGCAAACAAAAAATTGAGTACCACATAATGTTCAACAACCAAAAGAATCAACAGATGCATCGAGTGCCGCCAATTACCCCCTAGACTCGATCGAAACCGTTACTTCTACAAAACTAGCTGAAAAACCCGATCCAATTTCCCATTCCACCCCATAAATCCGCTCTAACGATTTCCGTTACTCAAAACCCACATCACCAGTGATGAGAAGTAAACGACGAAATAACCCGGCCACAACTGAATTTTAATCCAGCGAGTAAGACATGTCGTATGCGCAATGTTCCACACACGGGCTTCATTCGACACTCCCCAACTCCTCATATCTGGCACAGTTTCAAAACGCAAACGTCTTTGCGGGGTGACATAACACATCATCCGCTCTGACGCTCATGAGTGGACGAAGAAAGCCGCGAGAAAGAAAGAAGAGAAAATAAAATAAAAAAGAAATTTTTTTTTTCATTCTGAAAAAATCCAGTTTACTGTTCAATAATATGATCTCCTTTACCCTGGAATTTTCTGAAATATAATTTCAGATATGTATATGAACTACACATGAACATGAAATTTGCCACATGTCGATTAAGCCAATTTGACTACTGGTCAGTTTCTGATAAATATCCCGAAATCTAAGGAGAATGGCAAAATTTTTATCATAATCTTTTTTGTAGCTTTTAATGAGGTCTACAAAAAAGGCTATAACAAAAAGTTCGCTATCTCCCTTAGATTCCGAAATATTCATCAGAAACTCAGCTAAAGCCAAGTGAACTCGAATCATTTTACTTCTTCGTTACTGAATTGAGATTCAAAGACTTTCAAAAGAATTATCAAGATATTTTGGGTGAGAAAACATGAAGACTATTCAATATTAGGGTCAATTCATTATTATTTATAAATTTCCGAAAGTTTTCTAAAGTTCCAAAAAAGTTGAGAATATTGGAAAGTTTGTGATCTCAAAATTTTTGATAATACACAGTTGAAAAACCGTGGACATCGCTGCGGACTGTTCAAGGAACAGGAAAAAAAAATAAGGCGCTGAATAAAACAACGAGTTTAATGGAAATAATTCCCAGGCTAGAGTAAATAAAAATGATTGTTTGTCCTATCCGTCTGTTCTGTTCTGTTGAGTCTGGCAAAAAAAGCGGGTAAAAACCCTAAGAGAATAGGAGTTAACAAGTGAGGGAATCCCACAACAAGTAATCACAGCTCACTGCGGCTCTGGCGGTTAATTACGAGGTAACGAGACGGAAGGGCAGTCAAACGGGTGGATAAAAACTTATTTCCTACGAGTTTTACTGTTTGGGATCATTAAAAACTAACAGTCAGTTTACAAAACGTCAGACAGTGGATAGTAGAAAATTGTTGCGAGCCAGCTGTATCCCAATTATGAATTTTCTCGTTCTCCCGGGGTTCTTTGACTCCAAATGTGGAACCCTTGATAAAATGGGGGAATTGCTTCTCGAGGGCTTGCAGAGAATTATTGAAATGAATGAATGAATAAAATATGGGATTTTGTTACGATGGTGGTCATAAGAAAACGAATGAAATAAAGCCCTGACTTAGCTTTGGGAAGCTAAGCAGCGCTGAGGGTGAATACGAGGGAACACCTGAGAAAGAATTAAAAAGAAGGAGGTAAGGAGAAAATATAACGTAATGGGGAAAAATACAAGGAAAGAATTTTAGAATTTTATTCTTACCTGGAAAGGCTGTTCCTTGAACTCCCCAACGAACCCCCCAGGATCCTTAACCCTCCATTGATCCTGTGAATAAATAGAATTGACCTTCATTCCCGTCCGATGCTTGGGCGGCGTTAGCAGCGCCCTGTCCTCCTCCAGGGTCACCAGCCTGGGCTCCCCCTCGTTCTTATCATAATTCAGAAGCTTTCTGTCATAGAACCCTCCACCACAGATGCCTCCTACCTGTCCATTGGCTATCGCAAAGACAGCACAGGAGTTCACACAGCATCCATTTTGCCCCGCCGCCACCCCAAAACCTGGATATAAGGATGGCTGATGTTGAGAATTCAATCTCTGTTTTCACCAAATAATAGTCTTTGATTGATTTTTAAATTCACATTTGAAAATAAGAAAAAAAAAGTTAAAATCTGAATTCTGGTGGTTTAGAAAATTCATTAATTCTATAGAAATGATTAAATAAATCACCACTTCGCATATTCCAATATTTTAAAAATAATTTATTCTCTTCAGATCAACTTCAACTTCAGCTCGTTTCATCGAGCATCTCCCAGAGAAAGAAGAATGTTTTCCAGCTATCGTTCGTATTTTTTCATCCTCTTTTTGCTGAGAATTTATTATATAGCGCAAAGTATGCCGACATATTTTTTTTTCTCCCAAGATGGCTTAAACTATGAAAACGGACCGTTCATACCTGGAAGTCTACCATCAGGAATCGTGAATATCGGCTCGAGAAGACTTGCATTCCTCTCCACATATCCTAGCTTCTGTGTCCTAGCTTCCTCACTCGCCTTCATCTTGCAATGCTTGCAATCTTTTTTCCTCCTTCTCCTAGGTTTTTCACTTATCTCCATTAAACTGTCATCACTCTGCTTATTCTCCCTTGAAACTGGATTTTTCTCTGTACTAGTCACTCTGACTGAGTACCTCGTTATTTCTTCCTTATTAAATGCACTATTTCTACGCAAGGGTAACGTCAAATTCCTCTGAAACGTGCGCTGTGAGTCCTCGGAGGTGCAGTTCATCTCCAAACGATTATCAAATACACTTGGAAGCTGCTTTTCCATTCCTACGATTATGTCCTCGTAGACGTGAGTGTCTGGTGTCTCTGATCGCTTGACATTCACTTCCTGCTCTTGAGGCGTGTGCTGGTGGTCCTCGAGGTTCAAAGAGTCCTCCTCATACCCCCTATTCTCCATCTGTTCAATCAAAAGATTGAGATTAAACGCTGGGGTTTTAGAGAGGAAGATTTGGGGGGGGGGATATGTGTCGAGGCTTTGCTCAACGGAAGACTTGATGGGAGTGGATGTTCCGGTGGGAGGGGAGATGTATTTTTGGAACTCCGGACGCGGGAAATCATTTACTGCCACTGGAGTTTTTTTGCCGGTGGAACTCTATTTATGAAGAAGGAGGGAGGTTTTTTCATTTTTTCAACTTGGAAAATTTTTTTTCGCATGTATTAATTTTTTTATCTGAATTACGTGAGCAAAATTTAAGAAAAAAATCATATTCTCATCATAATTGAATGAAATTTTGCAACATGTTCATTTTTTCCAACATTTCCATTTCACAAAAGGATTTCGGGAAAAATTCTGAAATAAAATTAATTATTTTCATAGAATATTTTCTACATTTGTTCTAAATTTGTTTCATAGCTCTGTAAAATCTCAATTCGATTTTTTATTTTTATAACTATATATAAATAAAAAGTGAAAATGACTTTAATGAAAAAAAAATGTGGGAATACTTAGATATCTTCAAGGCGCTTTATCTAGAGAGTGATTCATTTGAAGAGAGAATTGTGGGGAGATATTTTTTTGTAGATGACAAAATTCCTAAGTTGAAATACCTCCTAATGATTCCATGTAACACTCACTCGTTATTGAGGTAATTGAATTTTAATGATGGGAAAAATCTACTTGTTATCTTTCGGCTACTGAATTTTGACAGACCATTTTTCGGGAGATAGTCATCCTGTTGATTCATTTACATTGTCATTATGTAATAATTATACTTGATGAAAGATCAGATTGTGCACTTTGCGTCATGAAAACATCACAAGTTTCATAATTGTAATTTTATTAATTTTGTTGATGTGTGTTTATCTTATAAATAAATAATTTTAGAAGAAACGTTAAAAAAATTTTTCAACAACAATTATTGTGAGATGAGAAAACGAACGTGTTTAGGAAATTTTTTAACACGTATTCATCCTGTTCTCGCATTCGCGTATCAAAATTATCGTTCGAATCGTTTGTTTGATGATTTTCAATTAATTCATGTGATTAGAGAATTGCCGAGTAAATCATTACTTGTGAGAAAATTTAAAATAGAAAAACCTAGCGCTTTCTTTAACAAATTAAATTGAAGTTGAATTCATTCCTATTCTTCGTTTAAAAAAATTATACATGTTTTTTGCGCCCCTTTTTTTGAACATTATGCAATTTCACTGTCATCTTGCTGAGAGATATTTAATGGAAAACTTCAATAAACTTTATTTTTTCTATAAAAATTCCTTCGTAGGCAATTAAAAGCTCTAGAAAAATGTATTCCGCAACCGTTGCCGCAAATACAAAAAAAATAATGCTTTTATCACATGCGAAATTCCTCGGTAATTGAGGAAGTCGACAGAAAAAAGCTGTCTTATTATGCTAGCCTAGACAAGAAATCCACCTTTCCCACTGGGTTTACCTTTCTCTCTTTGTTACAACATTGTATAAATATTGATGAAAATTGTAATATATAAATATTGTTGGAAATTGTATCATAACTCTTGGATTCTGGGATAATCTTTAAATGATGATCTACATTCGCTGCGTTTAAACATTTTATAACTTCCAGTAGATGAGGTAATTTTTGTTCAGATCTTTTTATTATTGTCATTTTCATTATTCAGAGACAGAGAGCAACTATACCATTTATTTATTCGAGTATCATTTCTATTGATAAAAAATTACATAGAAGTGTAATCAGTCGTATCTAGTTCTGTGAAACCATTAAATTCAATTTCTATTCTTCTCTTTTTAATAAATGAATTCTAATACAGAGAAAATGAGTCTTATTGTTCTTAAAATTGTCATTTCATGCTGAATTAAAAATTGCTTATTATCATAAATAACATTAGACAAATCAGTTCAATTTTCAAATGACTTATTGCTAGATATTAACGATTCGAAGAAATATAAAAAACATTTCGTTCAAACCCTTTTTGCATCCGCTTTAAAAAAAATAATAATTCACCAAAATTCGTCATTAAAAATTGCTGAATCAAAAAAATCAATCAATAATCAAGTAATTTTTCATTTCCTTCAACAGAATAAAAAATAGTCATTATACCTTTAAATTAAAATTCGTCATATTTGCCCTCCTCTTGTCCACCGGAACCACTTTGTCTATCTAATTAATTAAATAATTAACTCAACAGACTCATGGATTTTCAATAGCTGTATTATATTCACTAACTTAAAAACACAACTTGTCTCCGGTCAGCGGCGCAACGTAACGTGCACCAAGTGAAAACGAGGGAGGAATGAGACGTGTGAGGTTTTTAAACCGAATAGCGTCGGCAATATCTCGAGCTAGTACGGCGCGGGAGAAGTCCTCGAGGCGTTGAATAGTATCAGAAACGTTTGTTGTTTCTCAAGACAACTTGATGTATTCGTGAATTCGTCATCGAGAGGCCGACTGTTATAATCTCCGTGAACCAATCCAACCGTATAATTGTATCCTAGAATTCATGGGGAGATGTCTCTCAGGGGTTATTGCGAGATTATATTTATCTGGGACTCGATTCGCATTTTTTATGGGTGAGAAATAGAGAGAAAAATCTTAAGTGTGGTTTTCCGGAGGACTAACGAGGCGAATGAGTATTTATTAAAGAATTGAAGGCTGTTTTGCGGGTTTTTTTTTTTCAACCGCTTGATACTTTTTTTTATGGGGTAATTAGCGGTGGAAGACATGCGTTTGTGGAACGGAAATGCTATTGGAATTGAGGATTTTTTTTGCAGGGGAGGTGACATATTCGAGGTGTTGGATAATTACATTCGCAGAAGTGATGCATTTGAATCATATTGAAAATTGGAAAAAAGGTTTTTTAAATATTGCGATATTTTTTCATAAAAAATTTCGCCCTAAAAATTAGGGAATTCCAAAATATTTTTACCTGAATAATTGAACTAAAATTATGTAAAATTGATAATTCTGCATTTGACATTTACAACGTAAAAACCGGAAGCGGACCTGCAAATAAAAAAAGAATTCAACGAATTCATAACGAGAGACAATGCAAGAGGGAAAGTCCTCAACGTGGAATGTAGTACGGAGAAAGAGTTTAGGATTGGGGCTCTGATTGGCGGGCGCATCGCCATGATTGTCCCAATCGTTGGGACTTGACTTTACGATTGATCTCGTGGTGTGACGTCACGAGTTACATCGAGACAAACAGTAACAGTCACAGTCACAGTCACTGGGGAGGTATGACAATGAATGATGGACAGAGCAAGAATTCCGGAGGGGTCATCGGAGGAATTGAATGACCTCGACGAGATTGTCCATATTTTTCTCTGTCCCTCTCTCTCTCTCATCCTGTTGTCATCGAGCGTCATGATCTGTTGGTTATGTTTATGGATTTATACATTCTCCTTTATGAAATTCTTCTGCGACATTTCGAGCTACTTCTGGGAATTCGTACAATTACATTACGCATTCCTTTCGCGTGGCAACTGACTACGTGCCCACAAGAATGAAAAAAAAAAAAAATTTTGCATTTCTTCAAAAAATATATATTATGAATGTTTATACTTTTTATATTTATTTCTGCATGAGTATAATGTTGGCTGAAGAGCGAAATTTAAATTTTCGAGACAGAATGTTTATGATTTTTTCAATATTCATGAGTAATTATTATTTCAAAGTGATGGAAAGAATAGAATCAAATTGAGACGCCTCTGGAGTGAACAGAAAATACCGAAGAGGATAAATAATTCAAAGAAAGATGGCGGTGCCCTCACCTCGTACTTTCGAAAATGTCTTAAAATTAATTATCTTCTTCAAATCATCCTCAACTCACTTCATCTGGGTTCTATAAAATGAACAAATTTTTTAAGCCATCTTCCAGATTTTTCCACCCCCTTTTGGCTGAGAATTCACGATGCAAAGTTTTCCCAGCATTTCCTCAGTAGTTTGCTTTACTCCCAAACAATCTCAAATAGTTTAAAAAACAAAGAAATAAGGAATTTTGAAGCGATTTTTTTCAAGTATTCCATCACTTCCGTAACATATTCCCTTCTCCCATCAGTTTCAGGGACAAGCTCAAATCCGTGAGTGAGTGAATGCAAGTGTAGACAGTTCCCTCATCCTCCTTACTTTCGCGCTCGTATTATATATTTCGTGGAATAGATAATTTCCAACCTCTCGACCTGGAATAATTACGGGCCCCCGAGGTGGGTAATTACAAAGGAATTATGGGGCCTCAGTCCGGCGTCGTGGTAGGTAGCTCCAGACTTTTCCCGAAATATACTTTACCCACACGATAAAATAAACCAATAAATCTGTCAATTTTACGACAACGTATCGTCTACATATTCCTAACGCTCAATGCGAATTTAAAAATTAAAATTTTCTTGAATTTATCAGCAAAACTACTTATTTTTATATTATTTTATTAACAATTATTGTATAATAATTAATATTAACAGTAGGAAAGTTTTTTGACTCAGATAAAATGAAAAATTAATTCATTCCGAATAAATCCCCTATTAGAATTGAATAATCATATTGTTTTCGTAAGAAAAACTTGATATTCATCTCGATAATTTATCATGGTGCGTCTTAAAGTAAGTCTTCAACGAAGCATACCAGACGCGTCTCACGCTTGATGGCTTTAATTAACCCCTTAATAACAACTCTCAACCCAAACGCATGTGCCTGCCACTGAAATAAACAGTTGGATTTTTTTTCCCACTCGAGTGAATCAATTTTGATGTTTACAAATTGGGCTTGACCGTCTATCGTATTGGTTAATTTATGTATGCATTCTTAGCTGATAAAGTTGAATTATGCATTGTTAGGTATAGGACCGGTAATTAAGGGTCGTTGATTTGATAACAACGTGAATGTTTTCTAATGCCACTGGGATGACGTGTTGAATTTTTAAAGTCGGGTGCCTGGATTTCGATGAATCAATAAATTGAAGTTGACC